GTGGATTGTAAAAGTAGCCTTTATGCCAAAGGATGCAACTTCAGTTCAGTGCTCATGGCAAGGACTGCAGGAGGTCTCCGTTTCAACCTCCTACCAAGAACAGGGCTACAATGGATTAGTGGGAGGGGGAGACCTTCAGGCCCTGGGAGCCAGCCCATTACCTGGAAGGTGGATGCTCTTCCCCCCTGCCCCCGCCATGTGGCCTGGTAACCCCATAAGGAGCTCACACAGACCACCAGGGAGGGACAGACGAAAGAGGAAGTTTATTGTGGGGTAGGGGTTTATAAGGCTTTCAGGAGGGTCAAAAGGGGACCAATGACAAGTTCAGGGGCACACAGAAAAAAACAATCAGGTAAAGAGTCAACAGCCAATAGGAAGGGGTTAACAAGGACCAATGAGAAACACCTCAGGACACCTTCCCAGGACACTCCTGTATGGGAGACAAGTCCCTCACAGGGGGTGTCGGGAAAAGGGAGCAATGACTTTGCAAAAAAGCAAAAGCCATTTTGAAACCTGTTTAAACCACATTAAAAACTTCTGTTTCTATAACATTTGAGTGGCTTTCTTCTTTTTCTTCTCTAGTCCATCTCTGACAGGACTTCTTCCATCCTACATATGGCAAATCCATTGTCACACAGGGGCACGTCTGTGCTCAGACCAAGTCATTAAGGGCTTTAGTGAATCAGGACTTGAAAACCTCTAACGATGGAAAGGTCACAGTTTTTCTAGTCCTTGTTCCACAGCTGAGCTACTATCACAGGGAAAGAGATTTTCCTTATAAGTTGTATTTATTGCTCTGTTTTTAACTTATGGCTGTTGCCTCTCATGCTCCCACCACACATCACTATGAGGATCCTCATTCCTGTTTGTCAGCATCCTTACTGCACAGAGCGGGGGGGTGGGGGTTGTGAGGGGAATGGCATGGAAGGACAAACTAAGCACAGTATATGTGTGTTGTCTAAGGAGTGCTAAGGAGAAGTGACATTTGACTCTCAGGGCCACACCATCCCAGGCACAGCTGACCCTTGTTGTGCCACCCACACACATGGCTGACTGTCTCAGTGTGCTGCCCACCAGCATCCAGAGCTGGCCGACTGTGTCACTGCAGGGTCTGCCTTTCCAGTGTAAGACTCCATGCTTGTCCTTGCTGAATTTTGTCAGGTCCCTATTAGTTGGTCCATCACACTTGTCCGGGTACCTCTGAATAGCAGCCCTGCCTTCCCTCGTCAGCTAATTGCTCACAATTTGTTGTCATCTCCAGACTTGATGAGAGTGACCTCCATCCACTTTTCTGAGATCCAGAACAGGACAGGCCACATTACAGACCTCTGCAGAACACTCTGGAAACAGACCTCCAGATATGAAGTGACTCATGGACCATGAACTCCTGAGTGAGAACAATTTGTCTGCCAGTTTTCTACCTATGTAGTTGTTGTCCCATTCACACGGTAATATCCTAACCTCAATACATGAATGGTGTGGAGATGGTGTGAAAAGCCTTGTTGATGAGGAAATAAATGGCATCCACTGCACTGCCTTCATCTACAAATCCAGTCATTTTACCATAGAAAATGATCATGTTGGTCAGACATGATTTATCTTTAATAAATCCGTGCTGACAGTTTCCAGTCACTGTCTTCTTCATACACCCAGACAAAGAACATTCCTGGCACCATATTCTCAGGGACTGAAGTGATGCTAACTAGCCTGTAGTCCCTCAGATTAGTTTAAACACTTTGGGAAGATGGGTGTGACATTTGCATTTCTCCAGTCATTGGGAGCCTCTTTCAGTGTCCGCTGGCTCTGAGCTGATGGCTTGTAAGGACATCAGCCATCTCCTTCAGCGTCTTCATGTACAGCCTATCAGATCTCAGTCACTTGTGTGGATCAAATATTTGAAATAAATCCTTTTTTCCGTCTTCATCACCTACTGGTAACTCATCTCTCCCTGTGTCCTATCACTAGGTGCAGAGGCCTGGCAGACCTTGCTGGTGATGACAGTGAGCACTATTCCCTTATGTGTGTCCATTGCCTCTGTGTCTCCTGCCCCATTCTAAAACAGGTCCAAGTTGTCCTTGGTCAGCTTTTTACTGCTAACAGTAGTAGAAACTCTTCTTTTTTCCCTTGACATCTTTTGCAAAACTGAATTCCACCTGAGCACCTGCCTCTTTGACACTACCCCTGTATGCCCAGGCAATATTTCTCAATTTTCTCCTGGTGATCCACCTCTGATTTACTACTTTGTTGGCTGTTTTTTTCACCTGGGCATCTGCCTTCTTATATGTTCCCTTTGTTCCCTTTGTTCTTCCTTATTGAAAGGAGGATGCTCTCCTTTATTAGGCTGACCAGCTTTCCTGTACTCCTTTGCCTTTCAAAGTTCAGTCGCATGAAATCTTAGTTGCCTGAATAAGCCAAAATATGCTGTCCTAAGTAGTGTCTGTGCTCTGCCAGTCCTGCCACCCTCCCTTGGCTCAGAAACTTGACATCCACCACATCAAAATCCATAACTGATCATCCTCACCCCAATCAGTTCTTCCTTGTCAGTGCACAGTGAACTGCCCATGACCCACTGTGATTCAGCCCCGGCTGGCCTGTCCAGTATCTGTATAACAAGAAATTACCCTTGACATCCTCAAGGATATATCCTGGATGGCCGTGTGTCTCTTCCAAGAGATGTTATCTATCTAGACTTCTGTAAGGCCTTTGTCATGATCCCCCACAGCATTTTTCCATCTACATTGGAGAGATACAATTTTGATACTGTTTGGTGGATGAAGAATTGGCTGGATTGTCACATCCATAGAGTAGTGGGCAATGACTCAGTGTCTGGGTGGAGGTCAGTGATGAGTGGTGTCCTTTAGGGACTAGTACTGTAATGGGACTAGTACTGTTTAAGATCTTCACCCATGGCAGAGACAGCAGAATTGAGTGCACGCTTATAAAGTTTGCAGATGACGTTGAGTCATGTGGTGCAGCTGACGCACCTGAGGGACAAGATGCCATCCAGAGGAACCTGGACAAACTCGAGAAGTGGGCCCATGGGCATCTCATGAGGTTCAACAAGGCCAAGTGCAAGATGTTGCACCTGGGTCAGGGCAACTTATGGTATCAATACAGGCTAAGGGATAAATACAATATAACACCTTGATAATTTAGACTGAAAGCAACTTTTTTTTCTGATATAAGTGTTTGGGGTTTTTTTCCGGCTTGTGTTTTTGAAAGTTAAGAAGAGCATACTTGAAAAAATTGGAAATAGAAGTCAAGTTTTGCAAAATTCCATTTACTAGATAAAGTACAGAAACCTTGTTTTCATTTGTTACAGTAAACTGCCAGTTGGATAGGGCTGAAATCTGTCCTATGATGGAGCACTTTTTATCTTTGGCTGTGTTTTGTGGATTTGGCAAGCTAAGATTGGGACACCTCCTCTGAAGCCCTGAAATATATGGACATAGCCTTTTCCAGTGACCTGGTATTAGTGAGCTTTCAGCATTTTTACAGTATCTGCAATTCTATTTTCATTTAACAGAATAAAAGACAAAATCATAGAAATTCTCATGTAAGGTAGCATGTATACGATAGTGTTCAGTCTCACATATATGGTTAAAATTACATGTTTACTAATAAATGGCTGATTTGAAGACTGGGAAGGGCATAAAAGCAAATGTAAGGGCCACTCTCTTATGCAGTCTTGAGTGTTAAAATCTATTACTTCAAACCCTGGTCCATAAACCCTGGCATTAATGTCGATTTGTGAGGGCTTGATTGCAAGACAGTGGTCCAGAGTGGTAGGTGATTTCTTTCTTGGTAAGGGGTGCTTTAAATCCTGAATCTTTTGGTTTATATATATATATATATATATATATATATATGTCTATCTCAACAGAGATGTATCAAGGATGTAACTCCAAAAATGGCCTCTCTAATGTCAAATATTTTTCTTTCTTTGTGCAAGGCCTTATGTGTTATTGTAACGGATTTTGAAAATCTTTTCACAAGTGCTGGCTCTGCACCTTTTTCAGCAGACAAGTGAGGGCTATCGTCTGAGCCAATAACATTTTTTAAAGTATCTTATTTTCCTGAAGTAGTAAAAACTATATTTTTTTTATAGCTGAGACCATTTTTAGAAGTCATGTCCAGACAAGCCCAACAGGTATAAAATTTCTTTGGCTGAGCTGGAGAGCAGAACACACGGTTGAAGTAAATTCCTGAGCCTCCTTCCTTCGAGAGCATCAATCGAAGAAGGACAGCCCATGGTCATGGTCTCCTCCTCCCAAGAAGAGTTATTTTAAAACTTCAGGTATAGTTCTCGGTAGTAACAGTGACCAGGGATAAAAGGGGAAGGGAGGAAGTGCGGAAGGGAGCGTGGTAACAAGGGAAGTGTTAAAACCCTCCGAGGCTGTTGCAAAGTGGCTGCAGCAGCATCAGCATCATTAGCAGGGTAAGCCGGGACGGGGAGGCAGCGATGGCTACGGGGCCGGGACAGTCCGGGGAGCGGCGGCAGAGCTGCGGAGAGGCGCCTTGCGGGGGTGGTCCCGGCTCCGCCCGGCGGTGAGGGCACGGCCGGGGCCGGCGCTACCCGAGCGGAGCGGAGCCGCAGGAAGCGGGCGTCCGAGGGGGCTGGCACGGCCCCGCCCGGCCCAGACCGAGCCCGCAGCAGCCGCCCGGGGAGAGCGGCGACAGCCCACCATCCGGGCGGGGATGCCTCCGCTGCCGGCGGGGATGCCGGAGTCCCGCGGCACCCCGCACAGCTTCGCCCCGCTACCCCGGCCAGCTCAGGGCTCGCTGTCCGCCGGGGCCGCCGCTCTCCCGCCACCGCCGCCGCTTCGCCCAGACGAGCTGCAGCGTGGCCGCCCATGCCCATGCCCATGCCCATGCCCATGCCCATGCCCATGCCCATGCCCCCCGGGCGCGCTGCCCACCGTCTCGCTGCTCGGGCTGGCGCTGCTGCAGGTCGGCCTGGGAAACGCCCTGGTGGCGCTGAGCGCGGTGGTGTGGCTCCACCTGGGCCGGCTCCTTGGTAAGCAGCAGCCACCGGTCCGGCAGGGCGTGCGGGGCAGAGCGGCCGCCGGTCCCGCTCCTCAGCGCCCGCTTGGGAGTAGGGTGCAGGTAATGCTTTCGCTGACACTTTAGCTACGGTGTCGTCTTGACCCCAGATAGGGGATTTATTTCCTGATGTGCATTTTTGCCCCCCTCCCCCCAAGTTATTTTACGCAATTAGAAACAGGATTTTCGAAAGTCACTGTGTAATGTAGATGTTATATATTGCTTTATTGCATTGTGTTGCGTATTGATTTTATGCGTTGCGCCTTTCCTCTCGTGACAGAGAAAACAGCAATATTCTGGGGGGAAAAAAATGGATGGGGTTGAGACAGTTTTGTAGAGTCCTGAGAGAAGTTATTCCATCTCGTGTTGAACTCTGCTTTAAACCATAGCTTTATAAATACAGAATATATAATAGTTTGTGTTGCAGAAGCTCGGCAGTGGTAAGCAGAAGTCAACAAGTGTGGAAGGGTCAGGGTGACTGGTCACAGTTTCTGGGCCCTCCAGCAATGAGCAAGTCATGTTCTGTGGCTGGGACGCTCAGCTCCTGCTGCTAGTGTGAAGAGCATCAGCCTTTCCCTCAGCTCAAACATTTAAATTACACTGCCGGTGTTGTTCACCACCTGCGAAAACATGCTCCATGATCTGTGGTTTGGGCACCGGGGGGAAATCTAGGCCATCCAAATGGGTATTTTAGGTATCTCTCGTGTGATCTTTCATCTTTTTTTTTTCTTTACTCTAGGTTAAAAGAAGTTTAAGTATATGTATAAGTTTAAGTATATAAGCTCTGGACTTTCTTTGAACTCTGCACACAGAACCATGCTTATGCTTTTAAAATGTTTTAAAATTGCACATGGAAAATGAAGTATCAGTATCTTTAATAATGAAGAAGGGTGTTGTTTTTGTTTGGCATTTTTTAATGCTATCTCTGAAACAATAGTACACTCGGAAAAGTTACTGAAAATACCTTGCGGGTGTAACAATATGAGTGAAAATTTTAGCCCAGAAGCAACCTGGAAAAGTAGTGGTCATTAAAAGCTGGAATTGATGGTATCTGTTTGAGTGGGGTTTTGACTCGGTTTTTTTTGTTTGTTGTTTGTTTTTGGTTTTTTTTCATTATGAATGCGACATGATGACTTGTTAAGTGCAAGCTAGGAAAGCTTTGAGAAAGACTTTTCTTATCTTAAAGCTTTAACAAATGTAATGAATTAAATTTTGTTTTCCTTAACGCAAAAAAGCAATTCACATCAGTATTGGTGTGCTTTGTTATAAAATCGTGTGACCACTTTGCAGTCAGAGAATTCAAAAAATACTTTGATATGAAACTGCAGAGTGTGTGTGGTTTTGCAACACCAGTGATGATATCAGTAGGTGTCATATATCCACATTATGCTAGATCAGATTGATCATGTCAAGTGAATGAAGTTGTAGAAGGAACTTAATAAAAATGTTAGTGGATGACTTCCCGCTTGTTCTAGTCTTCTTGTTTCTTTTTAGTGTAGGAGCTTGATGTCTATTGGCTTAGTCACAAAGTCTCATGAGTTAAAAGTATACCTGTTGATTTGCAGGACATGCTGAAAAACTGATTTGCCTTTCTCTATAGTATTCCCATTGTTCTGCAAGAGAGTATTTGGGTATGCTGTTTGTTTCAGTTCTACAGCAATTCTTTCTCCTTCCTTTGTTGTTTTGCCCTCTAAGATAAAGAAAGTCATGGGGTTCAGTTCTGTGATTCAGCAAGTTTGGTCTAACAAGTGCTGTTGCAGAAGGGTGTGCTTTTACTTCTATTCTTTCCTCGTGCTGATACTGGCATTAATCTGATTAAACAGCAAGTCATTTCAGGGAGATAGTGCTGCTGCTCTTTGCTGGTTTTGGTAGGGTTCATGCTCTGGGTTTTAGTTCACCAAAATGGTCAGAAGAGGGCCAGATCAGCCCAAGGGAAGAAAAGAGGCAGGCACTTCATGAAGTGCTGGAGTGGCGACACAAGGTGGAGACACAGAGCCAGTTTTTAGATTTGCTTGGCCCTGCTGCAGAGAACAAGTGCTCAGCTGGCTGAATATAATTGTTTTAGGCAATTGTGGAGGTCAGAGTTGCTGACATACTACTTGTCCCCATTGATGTTTTCTGGGAGGAAAAAAAATAAGAAAAGAATAGTTTTAAATTTGGTTGTGTTATTTCACAAGATGTTTTTAGGAGTGAAGAACCTCATAAGCACAGGTTGTTATTCTCTGCTTTAAAGTGCGTCTTCATATCTTCCCAATGTTGTTGTAGTGTTCCAAAGTACCATTCATCAGAACAGTAATAAAAAAACAAGTAAATCGCATTTCATGAACAGTTGTTCACTTCTTGATGTTTTTGATGTTGTAGGCAATGTTATGTGGAATCATAGGGTTGACCACATGGAAGACGTCAGTGATGATTTTGGTAAGTATGGATTAAAATTTTGTAAGGAAATTATCAAAATATGATTCTGATTTAATAGGCATTGGTAGAAAGAGAAATCTCTTCTTTCTCCTTGAAAAAAAAAAAACAAACAAACCTGTAGGGTTGAGTCTCTCTTTTTGAATCATAATTATTGAAAGAGGAGACCATGACTCCTGCATGGCTGGAGTCCACAGTAGGGGCAAGAATGGACCATGTGTGGAAGAATTGTTAGTGTTGTTTACAGAACACATTTTGTGGTTTTGTATGTATAAGGAAGTGCTGACTTAGAATAAATAATTTAGCTCTCTGAGGCAGTGCTGCTTAAACTTAAACGGGGGAGATGGCTTTAAAGCTTAGCTCAGTGGTAGTGTTTTTTGATAGCAGCTTTGAGTGCAAGCCGAAGTCTTGCCAGCTTACAGTACCAGTAATGGTATCCAGTGTTACCAGTGTTACCATTTCAGATACAGTTGGCATTGCAATGCTGTGAGGGAAGTAAATTGATGTGTTAGCTGTTTCCAATTGCAAGTGAAATCTGAAGCTGTGTGGCTCCTAATGTCTCAGAGTTGGGATTTGAAAAAGTGTTTTGGAGTTGCTTTTGTTTGTGGGTTTGGGGAGTTTTTTGGTGGGTCGGTCGCTTTGGGGGTTTTTTGTTTGTTTGTTTAGGTTTTTTTGCCTTACTGTCACTTCTGAAGACTTCTTCCAGGCCAAAGCAGTTGTTTCATTTTTGTATAGGACTTCTTTGGGATCCACGTAGACATTGATGAGGAGTACCAACTATCAGACATGTGAGCTAGATATAGAATCAGAGAGTCATAGAATAATCAAGGTTGGAAGAGACCTTTAAGATCATCCAGTTCAACCATCAACCCAGCACTACCACTGTAACCCCTAAACCACTAAAGCACATCACCTAGTGCCACATCCAGATGCTTCTTAAACACCTCTGGAGTGGTGCCTTCACCACCTCCCTGGACAACCTAATCCAATACCTGACCACACCAACAGTGAAAATATTTTTCCTAACATCTAATCTGAATCTCCCCTGTCTCAGCTTAAGGCTGTTTCCTCTTGTTCTCTCACTGCAGGCACAGTAGAAGAGATCAGCCCTCACCTCACTACAACCTCCTTTCAGGTAGTTGTAGAGAGTGATAAGATCCCCGTGAGCCTCCTTGAGACTAAACAAACCCAGCTCCCTCAGCTGTTCTCCATAAGACATGTTTTCTAGACCCTTCTCTAGACACACTCCAGGACCAAAATGTCATTTTTAGAGTGAGGGCACCAGAACTGAACACAGCACTCGAGGTTTGGCCTCACCAGTGCTGAGTACAGGGGGGCGATCACTGCCCTGGTCCTGCTAGCTATGCTATTCTTCATACAGGCCAAGATGCCATCAGCCTTCCTGGCCACCTGGGTACACTGCTGGCTCATATTGGACCAGCTGTCAACCAGCATCCCCAAAATGCATTGCTGTTTCTCAGTGTACATTGGGCAACACAGGCAGAGCAAGGCAAGTTTTTTATGAGTTCTGTGGCTATAGAGAGGAGTTTGGTGTTGAGGCCTCCAAATCTGGAAGGACCATGTTTTCATCAAAAGAAGTGTAAATGCCATCTGTCTCAAAATGCCTGAGGCTTGCACAGTGCTCCCTGTTCCTGTATTGCCTGTGTTCTGTACTATTCCTACAGCATATTGGTGCTGTAGTTTCCTTTTTTCTGTTGTTGCTCTTTCACTCTTTTACATTCTCCTATGTATAAACATTATGGGACTTCCCTAATTTTACTTAAATATGAAAGCACCAAGCTCTTCCTGGTCCTTTCTTTTATATCAAATGATCTTTATGATGGTCATGCCCTGGGATTGCCCTGAGATATTGTGCAGGAGATGGGAAAGTTTCTGACATAAGACTGATTAAAACCTTGAGCAGCCTGCTGTGATCTCATAGCTGACCCTGCTTTTGAGCAGGAGAATACAGAAGAGTCTTCTCGAGCTCTCTTGCAGCCACAGTTATTCACTGATTATATGATTCTGTGAAACCATTCAGGGGTTTTTATACATGTATTTTATAGAGGTCTGATTTTTGATAGTCAGATTAGGTCAGCCTTGACATTGGGAAGCATTTCTTTAATGAAAGAGCAGTCCAACCCTGGAACAGGCAAAGCGGTCAAGGCCTGGAACTGGTTTCATAGGGAACTGGTTGATGCCCCAAGCCTGTTAGTGTTTAAGAGGCATTTGGTCAACACTCTTGAGTGCTGGACTTTGACTTTCGGTCAGACTGAAATGGTCAGGGAGTTGAACTAGACGACCATTGTAGGTCCCTTCCATTGAAATACTCTATTCTGCATTAAAAAAAAAAAAAAAAGGAAATTAGCATTAAACACTAAATGAGGCCAAGGAAATCATGCCTTGAATTAGTTACAGTATTTCAAGTTCAGATTGTTAGTTTCTGTGAGCATATTTGTCTTGTGCTAAATATCTAATATATCTACCCTCTAGTAATTTGAACATTTTCTCCAGGAAGTTATGAGGAGTTATGTGATTGTAAAAGCAAACTTCCTACATATGTCAGCAATGAGACTAATTTTGTAGTCATGACTTAGAATTATGACATTCACAAGCAAAACTATAAAATACATTCAGAACTAAAGCATGTAATTTTTTCAGCTGTGATTGTCCTCCCCTTTTTCCTCCTTATGTAAGTCTTAGCACTAGTTTCTTGTAAATACACTTCCAATGGATTTATCTTTCCCAGCTTTTACACTGAATTCCTTTTCTCTTTGCCTGTACAGAGCCTGTACAAAGCTGTGAAGGCAGAAGAGATTGTACAGTAGTGTCCCTGACAGCCCTTAACTTAAGCAGGTTCCAGGTGTAGAAATGCCTTTATGCAGCAAGTGAGCTTTGTGGAAAGAAGTGGTTGCACTTGCAGGTGGCTTTATAAGATTGTTATGGAACCCAGATATTTAACATGTTGGGTACCTGTGCTAGAGCCATGCCAGAAATCTGAGGAGTGATATAAATTACCATGTTTTGTGTTGTAGCAACTTATGTCAGCATTTAGCAGTCTTTATGCAGAAACTTTGGACTGTGCTCAACAGTTAAAGTTTCTGCTATTAAGTGGTCGTTATCCTTTTTCTCTATATAGTTATGTCTTAATTTACAAATGCCTAAGAAGGGGCTTCTGCTTCTTTTTTTATGTGTTTGAGCTGTTTTCAACACTCAGTTTCACACTTTTTTCAGATAGTGCGAATACCAGCCTCTAAATTCTTCATATACTCCCAAAGGCCCCAAAATAGCTTTGTTTTCAGCTCACGTTGAATAAATATATCTAGATTTTAATTTTACATTGTGTGTGCTATAAGCCCTCAGATGTAACAGTTGGGCTGTAATTAGGGGTAGATGGTTAAGCTCCATCATCTACCTTCTCTGCTTCCCACAACTGAGTCATGAGCAAAATTACAGTGACTGGTGAGTGCCACAGAATTTGTCCATGAGCAGATTCTGGTATACTCAAGAACATGGTGATGCTGTTTCTTATGTGTTTCTGTATTATCTAATTTTTGGTTTTGATTGTCAGTTTGTGGACTTAGGAAATTCTATGATGCAATTGACATTTATCTCTGCTCCCTTTAAAAATACTAATTCTTTCTAAAAGAAATCTATTTGCTGTTCTGATTCAGGATTTCAGGATTCAGGATTTTCATCTCTGAAACCTGCTGGGGTACACATATTTGCCTGCAGCTCCTTTGCATGGCATTAGTCTAGCTCCTCCAATAAAAGGCTGGTGTCTTGGCTCACAAAATGTTTCTCTCTGTCTTCCCATCTTTAGGTGATGGTTTTTCACTGTCTGCGTTTGTTTCTTTGTGAAGGCCCAGTCTGTTCTGTGGCTGCCACTTCAATCCAAGGTCTTGGTTGTAGAGAAAAACAACCAAATTTTGGTTTTTTCCTATGACAGCAAGGCTCTGGTGCTGCAGATCCTTGGAGAAAGCACAGGGCTGCAATGCTGTACGAGGAGCTGGGGATGGGCTATGGTGTTTCAGTGGCTCATATTTCATCCTTGGAAGGGAGAAAGGAAGGAAAACACGTTAGTTAGAGCTGTAGTGGACCTTAGTAGCACCATCTGTGAGAGTAAATCAGTCTTGAAGAGGGATGGCTGTGATAAGACTTGTTAATAAATAAAATTGAGAGCCGTATTTGGGTTTTACTATCCACACTGTCTTACAGCTGTATTACACTATGGGAAGATACTAGATAAATAATGTATCTGAGACACAGGGTACTGCAAGGCAAAATCAAATTATAATCATATCTTCTGTACGACATTTTTGCAAGGAAGGCTTGGCCTTCAGCACTGCAGCCACTGAGAAGCCTTGGCTCTGAAATCCTACCTTGGATTTAGGTGTTTGAGGCTTTTCTGTTCTGGATATCAGTTAATCAGTTTTGGAAGTCAGCTTGTAACATGTCCTGAGGCTGATTTTATTTTGAGGCAGTGCCCTGTTAACACTGGACTAGATGATCTTGGAGACCTTAATGATTCTATGTTTCTTCCTCTGCAGGCCTGTCCCAATGTATTTAATGGGGAAAGAGAAACTTCCTACCTCCCCCTCCAAGTTGTTTGGGTATTGACTCTGCACCATTCTGGAGTCAATGTTACCCTCCATGCATAGAATCTGGTTCCTTCCTGTCTGGTCCTAAACTCCTTCCTTTCATACAGCTTTAAATCTTATTTTTAACTGAAGGAACTGATTTTTTTCAGAAAGAACATAAAATCTCCATTGTTAGTTTGTGTGTACTTGAGGGCAACTCACATCTTCAACAGGTCATGCTTGCTATAATAGCATCTGTCCTTACTGATATGCCAGTTTGAACTAGTCAATGCACTTTGTGTTGTATTCCCCATGTTTGCCTGGAGCTGTACATGCTTTACTGAATACAGAAGCCCTTTGCTAGTGAAGTATCTTTTCCTTTCAGCCATGTACAAATTAGTTGCAATCCTGCAGAGCGTTGTTTTAGGTGACTCTGGTTGTGTTTGTTTTTGGTTTGTTTGTTTTTTAACCAACAGAAACAAAGACTTAAAGTTAAGCATCTGTCTGGTGGCTGCTTGATGCTTGGGTTCTGCAGCTAAAGAGAAGACTTAGGTGTGATCAAATGAAAGTGCCAGTGTCCAGCGAGACACCAATTTATTATGCTGAGTAGAGTTTAACTGCTGCAGCTGCAAGCACTTGGGAGCAGTTCAGTATCTGCAAATGCTTGGATCAAGAAATTAACAGAGCACATGCAGACTGGTTGAATGCAGCTCCGGCTTTCAGCTACATCAAGGGCTTTATGCTTCTGTTGTTAGCTAGCATGACAGCTTTTGTGTTCATACATGCCATCAGTTTTCATGTAAAGCTTTGTGGGGTTTGACAGAAAAGTCAAAGTCTTGTGTTCAGCATATGTCGTTCAATCTGGATTATTCTCGTGTTTTACAGTATTGTAACAAGGATTTGAAATTTTTAATAGAAAGATTTTTTTATAGTTCAAAAATGTTAGTATTTTTGGTTTATGACAAAAATTTACAACTCTTCCTTTGCAAACAGAAAAGTTTATGAAATTCAAGCATTTATTTATAATCTTGAAAATTTCTGAAGAATTTATTTGTAGTAAACCTTGTATGTAATTGAAAACTTTTATCAGAAACAAAATACATCCTAGCAGCCTTAAAATAAAGATTTTTTTTTTAGGGCTGACTACTGCTATGATATCTGCACTTTGACTGATTTGCATAAATTTAACAATATTTAATGTTTAGACCAAGATGCTTAGTTCTGATGATGTTTTTAAATTTTAGCCCTGCTAGTAACAGTATAAGGCACTGTAAACAGAAGCTGCATATCATGCCCCTACCCCTGAAAAACAATCTCTCCCTATTCATCTGCTTTACGATAAGTGAAGTCATTGTACTTTGGTGAGAGTTACTTTAGTAGTACCTTTTTTTCTTGATTTTAGAAGTAAAATAGCTCAATGTTAACATCTTTGCTCGTGTTCAGAACTCCAGCATTAGGTCACTAAGTGGTAATTATACAAAGGTTTTACAGTCAGTACAAGCAAATAAAAAGAAATAATGCTTTTAAGTGTGAGACTATGAAAAGCCATAAGAGGCTTTTAGCCATTTTATGCTGCAAAAGCTTTTCTCTCGTATGTATATATAGGGTGTTTTAGTGCTTTATTTGAAATCTCTGGGGTTTTTTATTAAAGTAATTAATTTGACTCTTATTTGTGTGGTTTTTTGTTTTTTTTTTTTTTGGTGACAGTTATGTTATGAGTCTCCGTGCTGTCACAACTGACTGAACTTTAGTAAAGTCTCAAAATTTTTAATTATTGCTATCACTGCTGTGCATATGTACAATTAAAAAATTAAATTGCCTTTTCCTACAGGATGTTTATAAAGTATATATGTAGGCTGTAAATGGATATAAGAGTTGGTGATTGTGGAATGAAAGTTTTTCTTTCATTGCAGTGTCTGGTTAGGCATCAGTCCTGTGTGCACATATTAAAGTGAAAGCAATTCCTCTCTGGCATTAGGTATTCCCTTCAATGGCAGCAGCAGCAGGACAACAAGCAGCCTCCCCATGCAGAATGAAAAATAGCGTCAGGGCTTTATTATGCAAATTTCTGCTTCCTTGGAATCCTCAAAGTGCATGATGACATTTTTAGCTGGAAGAGATAATCCATTCAAGACAATAGTGAATACTGTGTCTAACATTAAAATACACTTTGCTTTCATATATTTTACTTCACATAAATGTTCCTCACAACTTTCTGCAGCTGTTCACAGTCCTTGTGTATCTAATGCTCAGAAGATGAAGGCTGTGAGCCAAACTAAAGCTTCAATTTGAGTAGTTTCCATTTTTATCTGCAATTAAGACCAGTTACCTCTGTTGTGACATTTAAAATACAATATTTGCCTTTGTCTGTTTTTTCTAAGTTGAGAAGTACTTCTCTCCTCTGGTTGGGATCTTCTGTCACTGGGATTAAGTGGAATACCTGTTTTTATTTATAGGTGAGTAGTGATGGAGAAGAAGTTTAAACTTGCACCTGCAGGAGAATACAACTGATAAAATAATGTAACAGAATACATGTTACATTGAACAGTGAGGTGGATTGAAAGCAAAGTGACTGGGCCCAGAGTTGTGATCAGTGGCACAAAGCCAAGCCAGCCAGAGGACAGTCAGCAGAGTTGAGCCCAAGGGGTGCAAACTGGGGTCAGTACTACTTAAGTGAGTGGTCTCTACAGTGGGACAGAGTACACTCTCAGCAAGTTCACAGGTGATGCAAAACTGTGAGGAATGGCTGATGTGCTAAAAGTTGCCATTTGGAAGGACCTGGACAGGCTGGAGAAATGGGTTGAGAGAAATCTCCTGAAGTTCAACAAGGGGGAATGCAAAGTCCTGCCTGTGCAGGGAAGTGACCCCAGTACACCCTGGGGAACACCTTGCTGGAAAGCAGCTCTGCAGAAAAAAACCTGGGGATGCTGGTGGACAACAAGCTGTCCATGAGATAGCAAAGTGTTCACTGACAGGACAAGAGGCTATGGGCAGAACTGAAAACCAACAGGGAATTCCATTGAAACAAAAAAGATTAGTTTTTTACTGTTATGGTGGTCAAAAACTGGTGTAGGTTACCCAGAGAGGTTGTAAAGTAGAATTTACTAGAACATAAATGCAGAAATTGTCATCCTTGTTTTGCATATCTGTAATAATGTTCCTTCTCTTCCTTGTTCTTTGATTTTTACCAGGTTTCTTTAGAAAAATCTCCATAATTTTTATTCAAAATTTTGAATTAGGGGTCTTGATTGTAACTTTTTATATAGCTGTACATGGAATTGTTTCTATTGCAGTTTCTGTACCAAAGGAGAAACCTTAAATGTGAATTTGCTTATTTTTTTTCCTGAATCTTTCTTTACTTTGGCCACATAACTTCTTTGCTCCATTTCCTCATCATTTGAAAGAAGACAAATATACCTCTTCTTTTTCTTAATAGCATGTCATGAGATTTTTACTATAAAGATGTTTTATGTTGAAACAGATTGTATTTCACTTTAAAAAATGGCTAATTCCTAGCTGTAAATGTCCTGTGTTGAATGTACTTCTTTGTATGAAATGCCTGTGTCAAACGATTGTCTCAAAGTAGTTTTTATCAAAAGGATAACTGAGATAATCTAGATAAAAGCATAAGAAATGGTATCAATTAATTTGAGTGGTATGCAAGGAGTTAATTTTAAAAAATCATTAGATTCTGTGTTTGTACAGAAAAACAAATGTCACTCAGAGTGCTTACTAGAACTAAAATCCTCTGTGTTTTCATGATTAGTAGAAAACTAGGGGAAAATACTCTTCCTCTTAATATTTATTTTTTTCTTAGTATGTCAAACACAAAATAGTCCCAGTTCTCTTCAGAGGAGTACTAATAGCTACTTCAATTATTGGGGGTTTTGAGGTTAAAACCTACCTTATGGGATAATGTCAAACTTCTGTAAAGCCTACTAGTAATGAGATATTATAATTTAAGGAATGAGCTTTCGCAGTAATGCTCTTTGGCTCTGATCCATTCATGGGTGATTATATTTCCCTGAACCTCAGAAAATGGGAACATATTTGTGCAACAACTCTGATTTTTTTTTTTTTTTTTTTTCAGATTCCAGGTAGCTAGCCATGTTATATCAGTTAAATTAACTGGGAAAGCCATTGTGTTCTTCGTGGATGTTTAGGAAGTCCTTGTTGCTGGATCTGCTCTAAAGCTGCCTGGAAAAGAACTGAACCCATGTCCCTCATGATTTCCTTCTCTTCCTCTTTTTTTTTGTCATGTCCTGCTTTTTGAATTTGGACCATTTTGTAACAAAGAAATCTGAATGAACAGATTGTTATTAACAAGGATTCTTTAGGAAAATAAGGATCTGAAACTTGCTTTGTAAGGTTGAATGCTTAAAGGAGGAACCTAATTTTTATTTGTCTCTAAAGTATTAGTCTTACCCGTAGTACTTTCTCCCAAAGTACAGAAAAATCTTGCTGTATAAACTGGGACATGAAAAGTTCTTATATGTGTTCAAAATCCATATCCCAAGTCATGTAAGTGCAGATTGTAAGGGCATAGGTGAAAGCGAGACATCATTTTATCTGCTACTCTATCATTTTATCAGCTACTCTATTACGCTTGCCATTCCTCATTTTTCAGATGGTCTATAAATCTGAAGGTATTATCTGAGTCATGAATGTTCTGGTTTTAGTATCCAGAGGATACTAAAATAAAATCATATTACTAAAATCTCTTAAGTGTCTCCATCCTCACTATACTGGGGCAAGTATTTTTCATTTATTTTTGCTGCAAAATAATTCTGGAAATTCAGTGCAGAGTGAATATTGCCTTAATGTGTTTCCTCCTCTTCAGGCTTCCTTACTGGTCTGAATGTGTTGAGACCTAAACATGGTGGAAGAGTATGACCACACAGTGGAAGTCAGAGGGCTTGCAAATCATACTTTGCACTCCAGAAAAAACTGTAGTTGCCTATGCTGTTACTGCTGACATTTTCAATAGTTGCATGTATTTTACTTCTGCATAACTAGTGCAGAATAAGGAGAGAGAGAGAGAGAGAAAAGACAAAGGTATGAGGAATAGACACCTTGGGGCACTGAAGTCATGGGAAGTTTCCAAAAAGAAGCAGTGTTTTTCCCAGCTTCAGTTTGTGAGTGGGATTTGCACTGTCATAGGTTCCTTGAGTTGGGTTCCTGTTCCCACTGCAGTTAACTTTGTTTTGCTGTTCCAGAAAAAACTGCTTATTCTGCTGTCTATCACCTGTGTTCTGCTGAGCTTGGCTGGACTTATATTAGGATGTCAAGACATTGAGTTTTTGTCCAGAGTACCCAGATGCAACTTGATGAGCACACATACTGATTTACACCTATTTCTTCTCATTATGGTACATTACCTTGTTGTGCTGAAATCACAAAATGTGCTAATGTAGAGCTGCAAGTAATTTAAGAAGATTCAAGCATAAAGGATTTTTTTAGTAATGTGACAAATATGAAGCATAGAAAACAGCCTGAGTGGGTAGTGGTGAGCTACCTACAAAAATCTTAGTCATTATAATCTGTGGGTGGGATTATTTTTCCTGTTTTGCCTCACCTGGTGAGGACCATTTGTGTTGATACCTTACAGCAGGAACTGTGAGGAGAAAAATAATATAAACCAAATCATACTAGCTTTTCAGAACACTTCTATGTGATGAAAAAGCAATCTGCAAGACAGGGCAGAATGCAAAAGATTTTTATGAAATTGTTGTCATAAGAAGTACAAGAATAACTATTTATGAACAAAAAACTGTGAAATAATTGAAATTGAAGGATACAATGTGGAATCACTTGGTAATGAAGATGATCGTGTGTAAAAGCTTGAAGAGCTTTAAGAATTAATCGAAAGATCTTTAAATATCTATTTCCATCCCCTTATTGCTTCAAGAAGGCTGTTGTTGATTTCTTTATATGCCAATGTATTTCAGTGAGAGTCCAAGACCAGAAGCAGTTCTTAATCTAGATTCACCCACTATCACTGTACTAGAGCAGCACTGAGAATTGATAATGTTATACCAGATGAGATGATTTAATGTTTCAGGAACTTCTGAGCCATCTGTGGCTGGAAGCATGGAGTACAGCCAAGAGACATTCTTGCAATCATTAATTACTTTGTAGAGTGACTTCTATAGGTGGAAGAGTGTTGACATGACTATCAAGTTTGACAGCTAAAAACCCAATTATCTCTAGGTATGAAAACATCAAGTTTCTACTTTGAAAACTAAGGTGAAAATATTAATTTGAAAGTTACAAACAACAACTAGTGTATGGATGTGACTATTAATGATTTGACCAGGTTGCAGTTATAGTTGTGTGTTTCATTCCATCCTTAGAAATGCAAGATACACTCATGAATCAAAGACAACGTGTACATTTCTGTTATAGGTTAGAAATCCAGGAGGGGGGGATTTTTCTTCCTCCTGCCCCCACTGTAGGAAAGATGGAGTTTGAATGGAAAGGGAGGTGATTAGCAATAGAAAAGGTCTAGCCAGCCGAGCTGCATTCCTAACAAATCGCCCATCAGAGGCTGGGAGAAGGTAGGGAGGAGTTTTGGGGGGTTGCTGGCACTCCTCAGAAGGGAGAAGTCAGGTTTTGCTGAGCTCTCGCTCTGGGATGCAGACGAGGGTCTTGTGTGTGTGCTTTTGGAGAGAAGGCCTGAAGACCGGTCTTTCTGGCTTCCTGCCCTAGTCAGCCCTGACTGCTGGCCTCGACTTGTGGGCAGGCTGTCTTTGTCTCCAGCCCGGACCTGCTGTGTTCTCATCGGAGAGTTTTTGTGCTCACCGGGAGAAGAAAGGAGGAGCCTTGGGACACCGTCATCTGAGGACAACAGTGAGTTTTGTGGGGGTGGACTGTTTTCCTTTCCCCCTTTCTTCCACGGGGGGCAGGGTCCCCATTTTCTTTTCGGCTTCTCCCGCGATCCGAGACCCTCCTCAGACCCCTCCCTGTGTGGTGACCGCCAGAGCCCAACAGCGCCCCCTGCAGGTCAACACAGAGAACTGCAGGCTCTGCACCTCCAGGGATCCAACAGCGCCCCCTGCAGGCCACGATTAGAACTGTGCTGAAGGACAGAGAAGTATTCAGACTTTGCTTTTGTTTGAAGGGGACTTCTGAGTACAGGACTATTGTCTAGGTTTTTTTGTGTTCTGTTACTGTTCTTGCCAACACACATATATCTTTTAATAAAGGGTTGTTATTTCTTCTTTTCTTTCCGCATCCTCAATTAAAGCCCCTTAATTTTGAATTTACAATTGCTGAGAGAGAGGAGTTTGGTCTGTCTCATAAGTCATCCTCTTTAGCAAACATTCCAGTCTCTTCAAACTGAGACAACTTCATAGAGTGGTTTACACATCAGTCAAAGAAATAATTTCTAGGCTGCTATGCATTTGAAGGAGCATCGATAAAAAAATTGCTTAGTGATCAGTGCAGCTTTGATTACAATTAAGTTGTATTTAAATGTCTTAAGCTTATCCATAATGCTGTTTTTCAGATAAGAAGTGCTTATAACGCATGAATCATTGGCATACCAAACTGTTCAAATTCAATTCTATAATCTTGTGTTTCCAGTCTTCTTTGTGGTCACAGGTTTAGTTTAAAATATAGGTTCTGTATTATGCAGGTAAAACTGTTGCATAAAGCAGTTAAAATTAAAAACTGGCGTTTTGTTTCTTTAAGATGGATAAGGAAAACAAGACTTGTTTCTGCTGTGAAGAAATTAATCTCACTAAATGCACAGAAGTAGAGACTGTACTGAAGGCATACTATGTGAAGTCATGCAGTTCTGCTCACCTTCTTCTCAAGGTACCTTGCACACACTGGTTCATATGACTGCTTTTATAATGTCCATGCTTGTGCAACAGTGCAGTGCTGAAGTAGCTGCTGTGTTTACTGTGAAAAATTCTGTTATTTTTCTAGTCTTCCACACCACTCAGAAGCTCTTCGTGGTTCGGTTGGCTTTTTTTTTTTGTCTCTGGGTTTTGACTAGTGCATTGCTGATCCAATAAGCAGTTTTATTCAACCAAGTGTTTTATTCAACCAAAACTGCAGTGGAATCCAGACAAGACTGTATAGGCAAATATGAATGTAAATTTTAGCTAATGATTTGATGCCCTAACCAGTCTTTTTAACCTCTCAACCTTTCTTGGCTTACAAACTGCTGAAATAAAACTCCTAATCAGCATAATTTTCAAATATAAAAAGAGCTTTAACATTTCTTTAATGGTGATTGTCTTGAATCTGGATTTCCCCCGGAAGTTAAGAGAAAGGTTATAATTCTTTGATGAATCAATGGACTATAAATCACATTTGAACTGTATTAAACTCTTCTGAATCTCTATCAGGACAATCAATAGGACAAAGCAAGTTTTTGCACATTACTCCAGTCTTGGAGATTGTGCTAAAGACTTCATCACATATATTTCTTAGAAGTAATTGCTATAGTCAACCCTATGTCTTCTGTGGGTTTTTTTTATTTAGTTTATTATTATTATTATTTTAACATCTATAAATACCTTGATTTAATTTCTTTAATTTCACACATCTTCATGTTCTTCAGAAAGTTCTCTTAGGTCATTGTGCCCTGAATGCTCTCACCACTACAGTTTGCTTGACAGTGGTTGCCCTGCATTTCTGGCAGATATTTGAATCAAGAAGATCCTGCCTAGTAAGTGAGCACCAGGCTGTAAACAGTGGTGCTAACAGTATTACTAGGTTACCCAATTCAGCAGTTTCTGTAACTCAGACGAGTGTTAACAGAAGTTTTGTTTGACTAGGGTGAACTTCAGATTGAAGACCAAGATGACAGTTTGGATCCTGATGGTTTTGTCCCACTGGTGCCACCTCCCTCCTATTTTGCAACTTGTAATTCTGGTCCTCCCCAAACAAGTCACAGGTAAAATGGTACACTGTCTTCTTGTTTTTTAGTGTCTTTGAACACACTGCTTGCTCTTTTAATTTTAAGATTTTTTTCTCTGTTATTGACTAAAAAAGTTTGTGACTTTAGGAGAAATAAAAAAGAAGAAAAAAACTTGTTGATTTTGGAGACAGCATAAATACAGTGGCTAAGGGGTTAAATGTTGTGGTTTTCACTTTAGATTCTGTAGGAACTGTTTCTGGGTAAGAGAAATCCTACAGTTTGACACAGCTGAAAACTTAGATGATACTGTCAAGAGCAGGTCAGGGCGGTGAGGGGAAGCCAGACACAAGCACTTGGCAAGAGTTTTGTGAGAGACCCTGAATTGTGTCTCAGGGACCTTTCTGCCAGAGTGATTCCCCTTCTCCCGCTGGTAGTTAGGGCTGACTGAAGGGTATGTTTTGATTGCACTGCCAGGCCAACTAATCACTATTCTCCAGGTGATTATGTGCTCTTCGAAGTAATTTGCAGATTGGCTTTTTTTATTAATTTATGACTCAGGTGGGGCTGCCTTATTCTGTTCTGAACATACAATATGATATATAAAATATGATGCTCAAGCAGACTGTCGCTCTACTCTTGCTTAAAATTCTAACTTTTTGCAGTGTGCAGGACTGTTTAATTTATTTCACTGTTTCATCAGGAATAGTCTGCATGACTTTCAAGACTATGTGGTCCTGGCAGAGGTAATACTGATCCTAGGATTTCCTAGAAAATGGTATCATGGCACAGCAGTAGGTTTTAGAAAGAACGAATCCTCTGAAACACCAAAGAGCAAACATTATTAAAAACCTCCTATATAAGTCTTGTTTCAAGCTGCTTATGAGAACAGAATGTTATGTTATTTCATTGGAAGAATAAATATTTGTTGAAACATGCTTTTCAGAGTTCTCCTGCTTTAAAATGGAGCTGTCATTCTTCATCTGGCATATCATTCTACCATTCTACATGGTTATCTCCTTTCCAGCCGCAGTCTCTCTTTTTTTTTAATTTTTTTTTTTTTTTTTTAGCACAGTAGGTGCTGATGAACAATACTTGAGGCTTGTGTGGTCTAATTTGAGTAGCTACTTTGCCTATAACTGTGTTAAAACTTGTTGATAAGAATATTTAAGTGGTGGTGACATCTTTCTGAAGTCAGGCTACTTGTTTCAGGGTGTTCAGGGTAGTTACGCAGCAGTGCAGAATTTAAAGCAACGGACAGGCCTAATTTCTGTCCTTGGATGTGTTTGGAATGGATGCCCATTCTCTTCCACTCTTTAAATTGCAAAGGCAGAGGCTCTGCTATCAAAGCCAATTGGTTTGCTCACTTGATCGTGGGAGAACTTTTACACTTATTTAATGGTAGACAAAAAAAATTCGTATTACAAATGTCTGGTCAACTCCTACCTCTGATCTAGTTATTTCACAAATAAAAAAATAGCAGTTGCTTTATTTTTCAGCGTTGGCACAACAGAAACAGTTACAGCTGAGTTTCCAGATGAACAACAAAGTTGACCAGGAGTTGGATTTTTATGATCCTTATGGATCCCTTCCAACTCAGGATATTCTGTGATTCTATGAAAATGTTATAAGACATGTGAATTTAAGGGAAGAGGTGATCCATGTAGGCTAACCAGATAGTCGCCTGGAGCCTAGAAATCTACCTCAGTCCAATTTAAAGTATCGTTTGGGTACATCCTAGAAATGATGTCAAAATGTGAAAAAAAAGCAGAGAAGAATTGAGATGTTTTGGGCTACAGACTTCTCTGAAGATTGTGTGGGAAAGGTCTCCTTGGTGACTGCTGTCAACCACCACACTTTTTCAGTGTTAACGGGGTAATGTAAATATGTGTTATCAAAATTGGCATTTGCCAAAAAAAAAAAGCTTTCTCCAGGCACTGTTCTGCTTTCTTCCTCTCAGAGATGCCTCCTAAGAGAAAGATCATGCAGCAAAAAGTCTTTGGGATTTCTGCTGCGTTTAAGCTTTCAGAGAGCTCTTTGAAAACTGAAGAGTAAGGTTAGCTATGAGGTACATTTGCCTCATACAAGCCTGTTGTGAATTGATTAACTGTCAAATTCTTAATCAAGCATTATCAAAAAAACAGCCTTTAGTTTGAATTTGGATTTTTATGTGCAGCTGAACATAAAACACAAGATCAGAAGTGTCTAAGTTTTAACAAGGTTATAACTTTGAAAGTAGGAGGCTTCAAGCACGAAGTGTGGAAAAGGAAACAAAAAAAAACCCCAACATTTTTTAACGAACCCGAATAAACAACAAATGGTGCAACCGAAACTTTCAAAAGAAAAAAAACAAAGTCCCAATTCTCCAGGTGGGGGGGGGGAGAAACCCGCGGCAACCAGAAGGCCGAGGGCAAATTGTCCTCAGCAGCTCAGCAGCTGGCCGCAGACACTTGAGCGACCAGCAATGGGTCCCCCTTCTCACAGGCGCAGTCACAGGTCAGGAAGCTCTGATAACTCAGTCTCATGCCCCGAAGGGCGGACTGCCTCGCTCCGAGATGGGTTGGTCTCTCTCTCAGTTGCTCTCCACGCGGTATATGTCAGGGAATAAAACCCCAAAACTTTCCCCTCAGGAAAAAAAAAAGAGGAGGCAGCCGAAAAAAACCGAAAGCACCTCCCCCTCTGTCCATCGGTGGAAAAACCAAAATCCTCCCGACAAAAGGCTTCCAAGGCGTGGCCCTGGCCCGCTCTTTAGAGGGAACCTCCCCCCCGCCCCTCCCGGCTCCCGTGCTGTCCAGCTTGTGCCGCTCCGCTCGTCTCCCCCTCCTGACTCTCCCCATCCCGGAAGAAACAGATGGGGAGGGGGGTGGAAGGGTGGCTACGCTGGGGAAGAAATTCCAACATCTCTTTCCAAACCTATGACAAGAAGTATCTTGAATTTCTGTTATAATTAAGAATTCAGTAGTTCACACAACTCAGAGCTAGGCTGTCACATTTTGAGTGGACGACCTGTATTTGAATATTTTGAAACAAAACTGAATCCCTGAAGTAAAACCAAAATGTGTTCCTAGGTGAAGTACAGCCCAAAGATGTTTGAAGCTCTGGGGAACACACTAGAGAGGCACCTCCTAAGGAGCAACTTCCTGCCATCCTCTGAGAAAATGTCTCGCAGCTCTTGGCGAGTCCATTAGCTGTGGCTGAGATCCCAAAATCTGAGCTGGTACAGGAAAGCCAATGGAGTTTGATAGCAGATGACATTTTTCTGCAGCTGGAAAGCCATACTGACAGATTTGCTCTGTGCTGTTTGTTGCAGGACACTTGGGCTTTCATTGCCCAATGCTTATGCAAGGCGAATCAATGGTGCTGAAGTGTTCTTCCATCTGGAACCACCTCCTCCTTATGAAGATGTGCAGAGCTCGAACACCTCTGAGCAGGTATGGGCCACAGGAGCTTGAAGTGTGACTTGTTCCTTCTGCGGTAAGGGTAGGTTGCCCTGAGGCATGGTAAATATGAGCCAGGAGGACACATTTGATCACAGATGTGGCTTGCTGTAAATTTCACCAAAGATTTTAATTAATCACTTACCTCTAGAGTTGAGAAATTTTCCATGGTTGGAAAGCTCTGCCCAGGCATGGGAGAAGGAGCAAAAAGCACCATGGAGCACACCTGTTGCTGGTTATTCTAGACCTCCTTGATTTATTTCCCTCACGGACCTGCACTAGTGGCATGAGGGACTAGATCGGGGTTTTGCCGTTTTGCCATGACTGGTGATCTCTTTTCACTGGTGTTTTCAGAACACAGGTGCTTTTCCTGAGAAATACTCAATAGGACAAAATTGGCTGATGAGAATGGTGAGCATTAATATTAGACATTCACTAGCCTTGATTTTGCAGTGGAATTAGACACATTAGTCATATAGTCACTGTGCAGTTATGCGAAAGTGTTCCCTTTCTAAGATGGATGCTACAGTTCTTAGAAAATACCAGAGAAAGGTGGTGACTTGTAATTTTTCAACTTTTGTATTTTATTCCAGGGAGGTGCACTACAGTAAATGTCATGAACTGTGTTGATTCGGTGGAAGTGAGTGAAGGGCAGGACTCTCAAGGTAAAAAGTACATTTTAAAATTTATTCTAGAACTGTTCTACCCAACACAGATAACTTAATGTAGCAGCAACACTATTAGTTCTTTGAAAGACACCATACTGTAAGCCAAAGATACAGAATCATTACTGTTTTGGGCAGTGGGAACAAGGATTAACATTTAAAATACATAAAAAGTTGTTTGCACTTAAGATATAAAAAGAAAGATGCATTTCCTTTTTACTAACCTACAAGTTAGTTGTTGACACTACATCCACATGTTGCAACAAATGATGTCCACCTCCAGTACTTCCTTTTGTTTAGTATATGTGATGGGGCCTGTTAATGTTTTGTTGCTGATGACAATAGCAAAAGGATAGAATAATGCTGTACTGTGTGGATCTAAATTAGGAACTATTCTATTATAGACCCTGAACTGGAAGAGTTACTAAATTGTTTCTGCATACTGGTACAGGACATATTTAGATTGCTCTTACAGACCACATCAAGCTTTGCTCAGCACTGTTTAGAAAACCATGCCAATGGTTCCAATTAATTTTCAGCCTAATCTTTGTTGCGGTGTATGCTTGTGGTTAAATATTATTGGCTTCCAGGTAAGTTAAAGGCAGCTTTTTCAGTACAGCCTCTGAAAATCTGTTCCAATTTTCATTTGAACTTGCCACTATGGCAAGATTGTCATTTGTGCAACAGATGGCTTTTTGCCTGTCTGCACAATATTCACACCCCAAAAGAGTAAAGACACTGGGACAGGGGAGAAGCCCCAGATCTTTCATTTGACTGTGGCCTGTATTCTGCCAACCTACTTCTCAAACTGTAAAAAAACTTTGATTTGAAGTGCATCAGTTGAAATTGTTCCTATTAAGTTGCATCAGGGGAAAAAAAAGAAGTAGAAAAAGAAAATCGTACTTTAACCAAATGTCAACTCTGTCAAAATTCCCTTAAGCTGATAGTCTATTTGAAACCTCTGAAAACAAGCACTTGGATGCTTCTGGTGTCTTGTCAGCTGTGATAACCAGAAAGAAATCCAGAAGAGCTGTAGCAAAAAGTTTCATTCTCAAGGCCTGCTTACAGATAAAACTTCTGTTACTTTCTTGGAGCTCTTTGAGCACAAACAAAAATAGGATAACAAACACAAGGCTACACAGTGGCTTCTTAAAGTTATGAGAAGGGGAAACAGGAAAAGAATACTATAGAAAATGCAACTGCTGTGAAGGACAGCCAAGAAAGTTTGTTTTGTTTTTAAAAAGGCTATGATGAGGCAGTGTTAGAGGCATTTGTATTTGAAAACTTCCATTGCAAGAAGCAAAGGTAGGTCTCTACCTGAGAACATATGACAAAGTGTACCTTCCACTTCATCATTTTAACTGGTTTGTCCAATATTTTTGTTTAATAAAGAGGTCTGTAGAGAGACATTTAAATATCAGCCTGGCTGTTAAATTCAGATAAAAAAGAAAGTGAGCATCTTAACAAAGAAAATTAACACTGCTTCTTCTAGATGCCAAGACTTCCCAGGGGCAATGAATTCAAGAAAAAGAAATAGCTGAGCAGTATCTCTTCCTTTATTTATATTTAGGGAGGTGTAGCGCATCTGGCTGGCTGGAGTCGATTTTCTTCATAGCAAACCATGATGCTGTTTTGGATTTGTGACCAAAACAGTGTTCATAACACACAAATGTTTTAGCTCCTGTTTAGTAGTTCTTAGGCAGCATTGAGGCTTGCTCCATCTTACTCTGCTGTCCTCCCTGCAGCATGTAAGCTGGGGAGGGGACACAGCTGGGACTTATGACTCTGACCAAAGGCATGTCTCATGTCATACATCATCATACTCAACAACAAAGACCTGGGGGGAGTTTTCTAGGGTTACCATTTTTCAGGAACTGTACAGGCAACAGTTATCTGTTGATGAGAAATTGCTTTTTCATCACTTGTTTTTCTTTAAGTTTGTTGGTTTTCTTTATTTCCCCCCCTCCTCACCTCTTCTCATCTGTCCTTATCTCAGCCCAGAAGTTCTGCCACTTCTGCCCTTCCAGTTCTCCTCCCCATTTCGCTGGGGGAAAGTGAGTGAGTGATTGAGTGAGTGACTGACTGTGGGGGACTGAGCCACTTGCTGGGGTTAAACCACAACAGGAGTGAAATATAAAATGGGGGCATATGTTGGAATTGTGGCAGAGTAAGTCTATGGGCTGTCTCAGCTGATGCACTCTAACAGTCTATAAATAAAACCTTAACTTCTAGTTTATGTTGGCAGTCTGTTATGCAGGGCATTTGTGTATGATGCCATGATTCCCTTGGCTTTATTAGGGCTGATCAACTAATTCTACTCCCGATGGAAGTTAAAGCTATGCACTGCTCTCTGCCAGCAGAACTAGGGGAATCCTCACTGCCGGCTGCAGGAGGAGCTCTAAGCTTCTCTATGCTGGCTAAAATGGTTTTACTAACTTCAAAAGCACTCCTGTCAAGCAGAATGGGACTTTCCCCGCTGACTGTAGTAGGAAGGCATGCAACCTTCCACTGGTGGGAGGAGGTGCTTGGTAGCTGCTCTGTATCATCACATATTAGGTATATGCATTTTCAGCACACATCGCCTTAAGCCAATTATCGCTCTGATGTCTGAAACATTAATATTATGAAGAATTATCATAAAATCATAAAGTTGGTTCATCAATCTGTCGTAATCCCCATTCCCTTCACCACTAGAGGGGAGGAGATAGAGTCTGGGAAGGAAGGAGGGTGGGTGGAAGGTGTTTTTAAGCTTTGTTTTACTTCTCATTATCCTGCTTTTACTTTGATTGGTAATAAATTCAACTCCCTCAGGGTGAGTCTGTTTTCCCTGTGATGGTAATTGATGAGTGATATCTCCCCGTCCATATTTCAAGTCATGAGCCTTTCATTATATTTTTTCTCCCCTGTGCAGCTGTGGAGGGGAGGGATACAGTGGCTTTGGTGGGTACCTGGCATCCAGCCAGGGTCAACCCACCATTTTTTTTTTAACTCTTGCATGAGCAAGAATATTGTTTTCTGTAATATGCCAGGTGCCATCAGATAGAGGTACAGAACTAGGCTTAGTGAGAAACAGACATAGCTTCATCCTGTCCTGTTCACTAAATGGCAGTTATGGGAATTGCAGCATATAACTTCACCCTAAGGAAAAGGAGGATTGTTGATTAGTTGGAAGGATGAAATGTATCACAAGAATTCAGGAAAATCTTTATTTTAATAAAGAAACTCATGAAACAAGATTTTTAATTCCTTTATAGGGACTGATTTTTTACAAGCTACCTCACTGCAAAAGGTGACTGACCTCTCTAGCCATACGCTGTCATAACTTGGTACAACTGCTTATCTGCAGGATGATTTTGGGCTCTGTGAGATTCAGCTTTCTCTCCAAGAAAACTGTAGCTCCCTTCTCTGTGATCAGGTAGTTTAAGGTGATTTTTGTACTAGGCAACACTGTACTCTTCTGTTGCTCCGGTTGCACAAGACTGAACAGGTTTCTGCAAATGTTTAAAGAGTCTTTAGACCACTGATACTGTTGAGTAACTGTGGGTCTGTGCACACATACATGCACTTCTAGGCTTTTGTGTCCATGGGGGGGAAAAATCAGCAACAATCTCTATTAATGGTTTCTAAAGACTTGCTTTATTCTGACTACTTTTCCTTTACTGTTCCTGATTACTCATACTCAGCTGAAGAAATCTGTGAGTCTGCCAGCAGAGCAAGCCTTTCTCCTTCAAATGCGAGCTGCAGGTCTGAAAGAGTGAACAGGAGAGCTCTCAGTTCCTTGCAGAAACAATCTAAAAGTTGACTTTGTGCTTCTGCACTGCCACTCACCCCAAGATGACTTTATTTTCTTTATCTGTGGTTATGTAATGGTTCCTTAAAAGAACGTTTTTTAGAAGGTTGGTACTTTGAACCTCATACCTGCAGAAATCAGCTAGTGTCTCTGAACAGAGTACCTTACCTTACAGCAGTGTGCGTGTGCTTTGCTAAACCTCCACCCAATCCCTTAGCCTTGCTGCTCTTTCAGCTTTCACATCTAGAAACCGGGTTTGTAGCAGGCATTGCTAGTCTGGGTAGGAAGGAGAGATGGTGGAAGATGAGGGGGGGGGGCACACAGGATTTACCAGTGCACTGACATCTAAAATCTCGCAAGGGCAGTTGTCAATATGAGCAATTTAAAGCACAATCAGCTTGTGTTTTTGGTGCCTGCCTATAAATTTACTCCCCCTTTCTTGATCCTTATAGCATCAAAAATCCAAAAAAACCCAAAAGTCAACACAACCCATGGTGGAGAGCAGATGAAGCTACTCTGATGTCAGTGATCCAATTCAGTTGCTGTGGGGAAACTGCTAGTGTGACTACAGAATCCTTGATTCTGCTGACAGTCCTAAAAAATGCACTGGTCAAGAGTCTTGCAATTTTTACTAGAGGATATTGGAATCTTCATAGTAGCTGCTGATACATATTAGCACTCAAAATGTAAATGCAGATGGGACGTTTTAGTAAGAGCCATTTATTTTGTATATTGGGAGCATGTCTATCTGGATTACACTTGCTGTTTTGAGGAAAGTTTTCATGCCTCTGCTGTTTCATGTGTTTTCCCTTTTCCTCCTATCAACTTCCATCGCAGCACCCCATAGAATCTGCTGCTGAAGAAACAGTTACATGACACAGAGCCTGTTCATAGCTGTGAGAGCAGAGCGTTTCTGCTCTAGAGAGACTCCATGTCAGAAGTGTTTGGAAGCTTTAGACCCAGACCTGAAAGTTAGTCACGAGTGCTGCAGAAAGGGAACTCACTGGAATGGAACAATGGATATTGTTTCAAGATAGTGCCTTCTTGCTAGGAATTTCTGCATCTCCTTCTGGTATTGTGTTTGGTATAAAGCCAATGATAAAGTCCTTCTTGAACAACCTGTAGCCACTCTTATTTATATTTTTTAATAGGGTCAAAATCTGATTATTGTTGTTCACAAAAAAGGCAGTGGATTTTTATTTGGACTGAAGGCAGTGAAATTGATTCCTTCTTGCCCCTGTTTTAGTCCTTGTAAGGTAATTTTGAATGTTTGAGTGTGTTTTCTTCCCACTGAATTTCCACTTTGTAGTAGTACTAGCTACCAGCTTGACAAGCAGTTATTTTCAGATATTTTATAACTAGTCCTTTTCACTGGTAATAACTAAAAGTTACAAAGAGTTGAAGAGAGATCACAAAAGGCTTCTACCTTTGCTTAACCTGTTTTGTATAACTGTATGTTAACATTAACACTCAAGGAGCATTTCAGGTCTCTTCAGATCAGAAACAGAAGAGAAAAGAACCAATGTACACAAAAGGGCAAATAGCTTTCTCAAGGGCCCTTGATGTGATAGGCACTCAACCATAGCTATGGAGGATTCTATTTTACAGCCATTTTGTCTAGTGTAAATCCAATAGAACGAGTCTGTTATGTGGTTAAAGTGTGCACTGCATCCTCACTGCTGAATCAGGAGTGAAATCACAGGGGGATACCATGAACCACATGGAGTGTTTTCCTTGCTTCATTTTTGTCTTCATGGGCAGTGCTCAAATGTGAAACTGGAACACACAGCAATGTAAAACAACTCCATGCTGTCATCTAGCAGAAGAGTTTAAAAGCAAGAGATTTGAGGGGAAGACCCCAATATCTGCTAGACTATAAGTCTTAGACATTAAATAGCTTGTGGCATGGGTCATAGAACAGTCCTCCTGCAGCATGAGCCCTGACATACATGAGTTGGTGGAAAATACCAAGTGTGTTTTAAAATCAGATGCGAAACATATGGCAGAAGCTATCACCAATGCCACTTTGCTTGAGCAGGTAGTTTTATTACTTGTATTTATCAGGTGATGTGGAAACCCGCAGCCTTCATTTGGAAGTATGTGCTTATGTTCACCACTCTGCATGTCAAAGTTTTTGCACTAAATTAGCTTCCTTCAGTACTTTAGTTTCATGTAGAGACTATGCAAAAGGCTGCACAGCTGCAAGGTCTCTATCTCTATCAACCACACAGAGAGGAAGGTTATCAGAAGACTGAACATCTGTGTATTCAAAAACTGAACAAGTCAGTCTTCTGTGGTGGAATCATGAACTGTGAATAACGTGACAGTGTTTTATGCTGGGCGTGCAATGGGAGAGGGAGGAGATGTTATAAATAAGCAGTTGCTATTACAAACAGGAAGGAATGAAGGCTGACAAGGAAATTTTTATGTAAACCCACTAAAAGCAACTTCTTTGTGATTGGCTCCCAAGATAAAAATAAGATCTTGTGCTAAAGAAAGAAAAGCAGAAAATAGAAAAGATGTGCTTACATTATTGGAATGAATATTCAGAAGTTTCAGAAAATTCAGACTTCATCAAATGTATGTTTGGGTCACTTACAGACCATTTGGATAGATGAATTGATTCATGCATGGTACTGGTGATTTGCTGATTAGTTTTGATTTTGGTTCTCATGCAAAACACATCAGAGTGTCATTTAGGCTCTGCAGAAAAAAGTGAGATTTCTGACTGCAGCCTTCAGACAACAAAAGCCTCAACAAATTTGACAGAAACAGCTAGGGAAAAAAAATTTCCTTATGAGAACTTAATTTATCACACTGACCTGAAGGTTATTACAGTTCAATGGCTTCTGCAGGAAGCAACATTCAGATTCCTTTTAACCAATATAGGATATGCCATAGGTTAGGGTGAGGTAATTCCTGTGCACCTTTAAGGGGGAAAACAGCAACCAAACCAACCAAACAAAAACCCCACAAACAACAACATGAAAAATTACCCCACTACTTTTCCAAATTGGGATCGCTTTTGCCATGCCTCCTTGGCAAGTACCTGGGATTTTACAGCTTTTTAAATTATTCTTTAAACAGACAGCACTACAACTAGCTTCTTCCTAGTTGGGTAAGAAACTATTATAATGGAACAAGAACCTGAAACCAAAACTGATTTACCTTTTTTTTTCCTTTTAAAGATGATGGCACCTGCCCAGGAGGCCATGTCATTGAGAGTCCATGTGCTACCTTTCAGCTGGCATCCTGGAGAGCTGTGAGGACCTGACTACTTTCACCACAGATGAAGATCAGCTAGCAGAGAGGAGGATCTAAGGAGCAGAACATGAATGGTCTCACAGTCGTCTGGGAAACTGTACTTAAAGTACTGTTTAAAACTGGTTTCTGGTTATTCCTGAGCAGAGCACTTCTGTCAGACATATACATGCTCCACAGGAAAATCATGTCTGACAAGGGGTGGAAAAGTGTGTCAATAATCTTACTTACTTTTTTAATACTCTGATACACAGACAAAGCGTATTAAGCAGATTGCAAGCTGACCTTTTCTAGGCTCTCAGTTGCATAGTGTGATACGTTGCTGTCCTGTTGCATCTCTTTGAAGTTTGGTAACATGCAGTTTTGAGGTATACATCATTCTTGTGGAAGGAGTTGTCAAAAGCAGTATCAAAGAACTTTGCTTATTATCAGTACTTTTGTTTGTATTAAAAACTCCAGTGACAAAAGTAGACCTCAAGATACTATGTAAGTTAGTAAAAAAAATTGTGTTCAGAATTTTAAAATTATTCTTTATAAAAGATGGTGTTGGTTTGCAAACTGAAAATATAAAGAAGTGCTCTTTTGGCTCAGTGAACTTCTCACTTAATGGCAGAATATTATTCTTGTCTTAGTGACACAGCAAAAACCAAAACCAAACCTCCAAAGCCACAGGTGTTTTTCAACACGAGGTGCTGGCTTGTTACCATCCCAGTAAGAAAGGCGCTCTCTGTATAGTCTTATTTAAGATGCTGTTTATTAGAGCAGATAGTATGAAGAAAGAAGATAGTATAGATAATTTTATATCCCTTCAGATGCTGAGAATCCCAAATTGTGCAACATCAAACAGGGGGTAACAAGTTGTAAAGATCCCATCCATTTTACCCCATATTGATCATTGGAGGTATTTCAAGGTTTTTCTAGCAGAAAACAATTCCATTCATCATTTCTACTGTCAAATTGAAGGACGTTCATATAAACGTTAAATAAAAAGGATGTTTACATGGGACTTTACTGCTGCACTTCTAGACAAAGGTATGGAAAAATGTACTACTGAGTTATCTGCCATTTTGAGTACCACTGGAGCTGCTTTCAGGCTCCTTTCTTACAATCAACCAGCTAAATTTATCCTGTGGCAAAGGAATATCCCTGAAGGTCCAGCTGTAGAAGCTGCACAGAGCAGCACAGCACAGGCCTAGCCCTACTCAGGTTAACGGACACATGGATCACCAACTCTTCCATGTACTGTGTTCTTCAGGTCAGGATTGCTGCCATATGCTTCTGAACTGAACATTTATTAGAACTGCAGTCCCAGCCCTGTTCTCAAACACTGTCAGTCCCCACAGGGCACCAGCATCACCTCTTCAGCCTGCAAGCCATGGGTGCTGGAACTGTGGTAGGGCCCGCTTGTGCGCTGTGTGGATCAGTAAAACACTGAAGGGGAGAGCAAGAAAAATGTCCCCTGTGAATAAGGCAAATCTGTGAAATTTGTACCTGTACTGCTGAAGTAAAGACTTATGTTTATCCAGTGAAATGCAGAAAAGTTTGTAATACAGAAATTGGTATGTAAACCTCTAACAAGAATGGTAATAAACAGAAGGATGGAGGGTGGCACTCAGGGAAACACAGAAAGCAAGCTCAGCCTGTCTGCTGCACCCTTTACCAGAGACTTCACAATTTCTCCAATCTATCACTTAAGCAAATGAGGTGAAATTCTTCAGTATCTGATGTTGACAACATTTGTATTTCATATTATGAAAAGTCACTGAGTGGCTGAAGGCCCATGTGTAGTTATCTTCTGAGTCAGCTGTGGTGTGTATTTTCATTTCTGTAGTTTCAAAGTACTCATGATAAACCTATGGGTCACAGAAAATCCTATGAGGCCTTACCAGACAAAATGCTTCTTTAGTGACTTTTTTCAGTTGATTTTCAAATACCATCATGTTTTTCATAATCAATCCCATATTATACAAATATTTTTAACGTTAGCAGAGGCCGTTCCAGGATTAAATCTAAGGACAGACATATTACAATTCTACTTTTTATTTATTCAAATGGTATTAGGTCTTTAATAATAAACCATGCCGATGACATCTGAAGAAAAACAGTGGTTTCAGAAGACACTAAGCATGAAGAATTTTTATCAAAGCTCCATTTATGAAAAAAAGTGTATTTAAAGTTATTCAGTCAATGAAACAGTACTTCTGTCACATAAAAGGCATCTTGAAAAAATCATATTTTTTTAAGATGCAAATACAGTGACATTTCACACAGTGAAAACTGGGATGCCATTTTAGCTTAGGAATTGGCTTCATTCAGGAGCATCAGTGTCATGTATTACCTGGAAAGAATGCTGTTTTAAAGTTAAGAGTTAACAGCAGTGATTCACACCTGCAGAAACATATACAGAACTACTCCAGACTAAGTGGTAAAAGAGAAGTTCAGACACCTACCAGTCATGTGTGCATTCAGCAATGGCAAGCCAGCCCCTAGGTCAGTATGAGCAAATTCTCAGCCTTGTCTAAGGTATTTTTGTTTTGTCGTTTATTGTTGCAAATCTTACAGACATTAGCGCTCTGTTAAATAAAGGAATGTAGCACAGTAAATACATCACAACAAAATAACTGGCCAGAAACCCCCCACCCTGTCCCATCCAAAGCAAAAAGCCCACTCTTTTCACTCCTGCCTCCCCCAAATCAAACCACCGCAGCTTCATTACAGAGGTCAGAGACCTGTGGCAGAAAACATCAGAGTAATTACATTCAGTAGATGTGCAGTATCAACATTCCAGGCTCACATATATTTATATATATATTTATATTTATATAGAGAGATCATTAAATGTTTACAAAGAACAATATTGTTACAAATACAATACTATGCTTTTCCCAACGCTTTACAATAATTTCTATTCACCCTCTTTACAGAACAATAGTACAACTTCATAGTCTAGGTACTGCGTGAAATATATACAAGAGATCTCAACCACATTGCTGTCTTCAGAAGTACAATTCATTTAGAAAACAAGGAAAGCTAGCAAACTCAGAAATCCCAACTGAGACTCAAATTCAAACAAGATTCAACACAAACACATGATACTTGTCAAAAATAAAAAATATAAGGGATATTTCATCCTTAATGTAAACACTGAAGAGTTAATTAGACTGTATGAAGCAGCAAGGATAAAAGAAAAAGAATTCACGTCTGTCACTGAAGAAGGAATGTAAACCTTTGAAGGAATGTTCCTTTGAATCTGTTAAAAATCCCCATAATCTAATCTATCAAACCGCTGCGCAAGTCTAGAGAACAGCCAGATTTCCCCTTAGAGCTCCATTTTCTTGAAACTCTTTCTGTTTACGGAGTAAAACGGGATTGTTTACAAGACTGTTCTCAGACCTGTGCACATTCTATGGACCTTCCAGTTTAGAAATCTTACACACACAATTAATTAGAAAAACAGATTTTTTGCTAAACTCTGATCCTGCAAGCATTCACTTGCTTAATGTTAAGCACCTATTTAGCATGAACTGTTCAAGCACTCAAATGCCAGTAACTTCACAGACTGCTGGCTGCAAGATTTTCAAAGAAACAGTTGTTTCATCTCTAAATACATTTGCACGTTCAGGTCTTCATCATTTCCAGTGCACTGAGTTAAAGTCTTCACCACATGAGCTAGACAGAACCACAGAAACAAGTGAAGTGGAGGGCATAAACATAGCAGGAATCAGAATCATGATGACTGTCTCTTCAAGAGCTCACTAAGTTTCCTCAGGCAACTTATGGAAGGGCTGCACTGTATATAATCTTCTAAGTTGTACATGGTTATATATCATATTTACATATATTACTATATATATGGAAAGTTCTGGAAAGAAAGTTCAAATGATCATAAGCCAGATGTTTACAGTTAAACAATATACTCACAAGTCATTAATTATTTTGTTGTATCAGTCAGGTAGCAGAGTTAAGTACTAACTGGAATACTAACAACATTCTTTTGCGCAATCTGATATTCTGGAGCCTTGGATTAAATTATGTAACAACAAGAAATGCAGTAAAAGCAAGTCATCATACATTAATCTCAACAGAAAAACATATTCACTTACTACAGTAGTTTATGCGCCTCTTCTTTATCTCCCTTAGACATCTGCTTCCCACTGAAATACTATGTTTATCCTCTAATTTTGATCAGCCCATGGTTATCCATGATTTGAGAAAAACAAAAAATGGACGTCTGGCAAGATTGCTCACTGGTTCTTGGCATTGTTTGCACCAAATGTGCACACGCACACATCCACTTCTGTGAATCTGCATAGTCATGTCTAGGATCATCAGTGGACTGCAAACAACACTCATATTGCACAGCTCACCCCACAATAACTGAGAAACAAGGGACTATGACCAGCACCACCAATGCAAAGCAGAAGTGGGGCGTGGCTATGTGTTGCCTGCCCTTGTTTTCATCTCACTGAGCCTTTCTATCACAGCAAAACACAGCACAAACTGTTTCTTTAAAAGAAATCAACATACTAACCTGGACTAAAAGCATGGTTAGGCTTCAGTATAAACACCAGTATATAGTCCTGAAAAAACGGTAACTACAGAGAATGTAGAATTCTCCTCTCACTAGGAAAAAAAAGCCACTACTTCATTTTTATTTTTCCCCATCTTAAAAAAACAAAGAACCCAACCCAGCCCTTTTCCCCTTTTGTCTCTAGCATGCAACTTAGAGGCCAATCAAATATTAGATTTCATACATCCCTACAGTTTATCATCTTCATACAAGTGCATATAGTACACACATATCTCCTTTAAGTGCCATACATATGGAAAAAAATCACAAATTATATACCAAAATAAATAAGTTTATTCCCACCTCATCCTTTTCACTGTTATCTATATGTCATGGTTTGAAATACCCCAAAATCCAATTCCCTAGCTCCATCCCCCCTCCCACATCTCAGCCTAATGTGGGATGATTTTCTCCAGACAAAACACACCAGACTCAAATGGTGAATGGAGCTAGGGAATTGGATTTTGGGGTATCTCAAACCATGACACTATATCTTGAACTAAAGAGGAATTCAATAAAATCAGACAGTCTTTGGACAAAAATATTTGTTAAAACTGGCTCAGAGAACAAAATTACTTAGAATAGTCTGCAGATCTCTTATATTCAAACTTCATAAATAGCAAGCACAATTTTAAAAATGTCTATATACAGTGGCACACGTGGCTATGTGCACCAAATTCGGAATTAAGAGCCTAGAAAAAGTGTAGCTATTCAGGAAATCCCCTTACTATTTCTGTTGTGGATATTTAATGATCCTCCCCTCCACTTTAACCTCTAAAATGGGCAGGGACTATAAAAGACATGTTGCATTTAAAAACAAAGCAGAAGAAAACAGGGAGTTAGAAATCTGGGGGCAGAGACTGGGAGACTGCTGTAAAAAATGCCTCCCAAATTTCTTAGTGTAAGTAATAGAAGTATAACATGTTTCAGTGATTCACAGAGTACTTTTTCGGGTCCTACTATCATGAAGAATTGATGACAGAGGGGAATTGAAAGGTGTGTATTAGGACAATTAATTTTACAACAGCAGCATTTACTGAGTCTTCATAAGCAGGCAATTCTTCCTGAGGGCAAAACTATACTTTTGGTATTCCACTTTCCCTATAGACATAAACCTTTAGTACTGAGCTCAGTGCCCGTGGGAAAATAGGACAAGAAAAGCAAAGTCACATGCAGGATGTCCAAGAGAACGCTTTGTACCCTATACTTTTATCTGTTACTCAAATTATAGCCACAAAATTACGTTAGCATGAAACAGAGCCATTTGTGAATACTCTGTGGACAGTGCAGCTGTAATTTTCCTGTTTTGCATGTGGAGCTACATGAAGTTTCACTTGTAAAAAGATGCAACCAAAATTGTTCCATAGATGTATTTTGCCCCTTCCCAAAATACAGAAAAGTGGTGGGGAGAAGAGGAAAAAAGGATAGAGGAGAGAGTGACAGTGTATTTGTGTCTGTGAAGGGGGGAGAGAGAAAGAAATGTCTCTGCAGACACACAAATGCAGCACTAGAGAGACAAGCACTAATGGGGAAAAACATCTTCCATGCACGTTGTGACGGTGAGGTGTCGGCTTTAGATGTAAACTGGTTGCTCTTGCGCAGTCAACAGTCTGTACATGGCAGCTGGCATAGTCTTCATATGAATCTAGGGGAAATAAGCCAAGTTAATTATGTTCCTAAACATACCTCATGTGAGAGAACTAGCTAAAGTCATACAAGGTAGAAAAGAAAGGTAAAACTTGAGAGTTTTCATATCCTTATTAAAGTATTGAAGGTGATGGCTTCATGAAACAGTATGTTTAGTATCAATGAACCATCTAAAATTGTGGATACTTCATATTTTCAGATTAGGGTTCTTCTAAAACATAGCAGAACCATGGGTAAATAATGAAAGAAATAGTGTGCAGGCTTGCTCTCATTTCTGCTTTTTGGATTTGATAGTAACAGGATAATAGAGGTAGAGTCACAGAATTAGGGAACCGTTTCAATTGGAAGGGACCTTGGAAGATCATCTAGTCCAAACTGTGCTGTTGCAAGCATGGACATTTTTCACTAGACCTGGTTGCTCAGAGCCCCATCCAACCTGGCCTTGAACACTTCCAGGGATGAGGTATCCACAGTTTCTCTGGGCAACCTGTTCCAGTCCCTCACCATCACTACAGCGAAGGATTTCTTCCTTATGTCCGATCTAAATCTACCCTGTTTCAGTTCAAACCATTGCCCATTGTTCTGTCACTGGAGATCCTGGTAAAAAGTTTATCTCAATTTTCCTTAGAAGCCCCTTTTATACACTGAAAGGCTGATGTCAGGTGGCTCCCTGGAGCCTTCTCTTCCCCAAGTTGAACATTCCAAACTCTCTCAGCCTTTTTTCATAGGAAAGGTGCTTCAGCCCTCTGATGCTTTTTGTGGCCTTCCTCTGGACCTGCTCAAGCAGGTTCGCATCATTTTTGTGCTGGGGACTGCAGAACTGGAATCAGTACTCCAGGTGGGGCCTCACAACAGCAGAGTAGAGAGGGAGTATCACTTCCCTTGACCTACTGGCTGCGCTGCTTTTGATACAGCCCAGGATACAGTTGGCTTTCTGGGCTGCAAGTGCCCATTGCTGGCTCTTGTCCAGTTTTTCATCCATGAGTTTTTCCAAATTCTTCTCTGCAAGGCTGCTCTCAATCCCTTCACCCCCAGTGTCTACTGATATTGGAGGCTGCCCAGACACGGATGCAGGGCCTTGCACTTGGTCTTGTTGAACCTCACAAGTGTTACATGGGCCACTTTTATAGCCTGTTCAGGTCCTTCTAATGGCATCCCTTTCCTTAAGCACCACTGAGCTTGGTGTCACTTCCAAGCTTGCTGAGGATGCTATGTCTATGTTACTGATGAAGACATTACAAAATATTGTCCCAGCATGGTCCCTTGAAAGACACCACTTGCTACGCTGGTTTACACTGGTTGCTACTGGTACCAGCAACGAACTATTCTATACTGCCAAGAGACATTGCCAGCTCTTACCTCACCAACAGCATTTGAGAGGATGTGAACAATTTTCTCATGGGGTGTTGCTACAACACTCTGCCCGTTGATTTCAATAATCCGATGGCCAACACGCACACCTCCTCGCTCTGCTATACCCCCTCTCATAAGGCTACAGATCTGGAAGGGAAAGGACAAATTTATCATGGGCTGGATAAGGAACAGAAGCTTTTTATTACCCATTTTTGCCTACAAGATATAAATCAACATTTAAACACAGGGACTCGCAACGAATTCTAAAATGTTATCAATCACTGACTCAAAGCAAAATTTGTTAGTGACACGTAACTAATGGATATTCCCTTCCAAGAGTAGAATGAACTGTCAGAAAAGGCTATGTTGTACATTACATGTCTTGTGGATAGGAAATTTATGAGTGTATGAAGGACCTCAGTTTAACAATGTTCATGATGCCTTACGAAAAAAGAGGATCAAGAACAGGTTTTTTCTTTTGACGTCATGAAATGGTTTGGTTAGAGACATGAATGATGCATGATGAAAGAAGACTCTGTTACACATTTTTGGTTTTTTTTACAGTAAAACAACATTTCTGTTCCTCTGGTTGACTCTAAAGTTGTGAAGTAAGGAGAGTCAAAGAAAAAAATAACTCTTATTAAATTAACTTTTATATAGGAGATTTAATACATCCAAAATCCTGCTTGCTATGAGGGAGAAAATAGCAGCTTGACCAGAGAGTGTGGAAGCTACTTACAATGCCATTCTGCACACTGAAGCCCAATTGATATCTGAGGTCTGGTCTTCTGATCAAGACTGTGGTTACTGGAGGACATCTAACGATGTTCAGTTTAACTCGGGCCTGATTTTTCAAACCCTGTAAAAAAAACCCAAACCATGAAGGATGCTGGCAAAGAAAAAGTTAAACATTTAACATAAGCACTGTAGGGAAAAAAAAAGAGTTAAAACACAGACATGGCAACAGCCCTGAATAAATACATTTTTGTATGCATTGTAACAGAATCTGATCACTGAATGCCAGAAACAAGCAACAGAATATTCAATGAAATAAGTGATAAAATATTAAATTTTTCTTGCCAAGAAGCAGACACAGTTGTTTTAGGAAAACCAGATTCCTGCTGGCAATTTCTTCATTTGATAACAGAAATCATGCATGAAAGGAATATTAAACAGGTCTATGCAACTCACCAAAAAAATCCAATGACTCTTCAATAAGTAGCTAAGATAGTTGCAAAAAAGTTGCTTCCCTAATGAAATAAATTCAGTTCTGTCAAGCAAACAGCAGGTCCTGCTCATATCATCCTTATATAAGCAGTGCTGCTCCTAATTTCCATTATTCACACAATTACAGAATGGGTAAGGTTGAAAGGGACCACAGTGGGTTATCTTATCCTTGCTCAAGAAGGGTCATCCCAGAGCACATGGCACAGGATTGCATCCAGAGTGTTCTTGAGTATCCCCAGTGAGAGAGACTCCACAACTTCTCTAGGCAACCTGTTCCACTGCGCGGTTACCTACACAAGTTCTTCCTCATGTTCACATGGAACTTCCTGTGTTTTAATTTCTGCCTGTTGCCTCTTGTCCTACTGCTCAGCACCACCAAGAAAAGCCTGAGATTAGCTCAGTCGGTTAAAACTTGGTGCTAATAATACCAAGATCATGTGTTCAATCTCCTGTATGGGCCATTCACTTAAAAGTTGGACTCAATGATCTTTGTGGGTCCCTTCCAACTCAGAATATTCTCGGATTCTGTGACTCCATCCTCTTGACATCCTCCCTTCAGGTACTTACGGACATTGATGAGGTCCCCTCTCATTTGCCTCTTCTTGAGGTTGAATGAGCTCAACTCTCAGCCTTTTCTCCTAAGAGAGATGCTCCTGTCCGTTAACCATCTTCGTGGTCCTCTCTTGGACTCAATCCCTGTCTCTCTTGTACTGAGGAGCCCAGAACTAGGCACAGCACTCAGATGTGACCTCAGCAGGGCTGAGCAGAGGGGCAGGATCACCTCCCTCAGTCTACTGGAAATCCTCTTCCTAATGCATCCCAGGATATCTTTGGCCTGCTTGGCCACAAGGACACACTGCTGGCTCACAAGACAGCTGCTTGTCCACCAGGACCCCCAGGTCCTTCTCTGCAGAGCTGATTTCCAGCAAGTCGGCCGCCAGCCTGTGCTGGTGCCTGGGATTATTCCTCCCCATGTGCAGGACCTTGCATTTGCCCTTGTTGAATTTCAGAAAGTTCCCCTCTGCTCATTTGTCCAGCCTGTCAAGGTCCTTCTGAAGGGCTGCACAGCACCTGGGGGTATTGGCTGCTCCTCCCAGCTTTGTGTCATCAGAGAACTTGCTGAGTGGGCATCTGCCCCTTCATCTAAGCCATTGATTAATAAGCTAAACAATACGGGGCCCAGTATTGAACCCTGGAGGACACCACTAGTCACAGGCCTCCAACTAACCCTCTGCCTCTGATTATGACCTGCCAGGATCTGCCATTCAGCCAGTTCTCAATCCATCTCACCATCCACTCATCCAGTCCACACTTGGAGATAGTCTATGAGGATGTTGTGAGAGACAGAGTTGAAAGCCTTGCTGAAGTCAGTATCCACTGCTCTCCTCTCATCCATCCAGGCAGTTTCATTGTAGAAGACAATCAGCTTGGTCAAGCATGATTTACCTTTAGTGAATCCATGCTGACTACTCCTGATCACCTCCTTGTCATTTAATGAGGACAGAAATGGCCTCCAGAATGAGGCACTCTATCACCTTTCCAGAGATGGAGATGAGGCTGGCTGGCCAGTGGTTCTCTGAATCTCCTTCTCACCATTTTTGAAGACTACAGTGACACTGGCTTTCTTCTAGTCCTCAGGCACCTCTCCTGACTGTCACGCCCTTCCAAAGACGATGGTGAGCGGCCTTGCTATGGTATCTGCCATCTCCCTCAGCACTTGTGGATGCATTCCCTCAGGGCCTATGGACTTGCGGGTGTTGAGTTTGCCTAGGTGTTCTCTAACCCAATCTTCTTGGACCAAGGGGAAGTCTTCCTTCCAACATTCCTTTACCCTGGTCTCCTGGGTCAGAAGTTCCTGAGTGCTGGTCTTGATAGTCTACACCAAACCAAAGAAACTGTTCAGTAACTCTGCCTTCTCTATGTCCTCTGTTACCCCCTCCATCAGTAAGAGGCCCACATCATCCTTCATTTTCCTTTTGTTACTGATGTATGTGAAGAAGTCCTTCTTATTGTCCTTGACATCCTTCACCAGACTTAATTCCAGATGGGCCTGTGCCTTCCCTGTTTCATTTCCAATTGCTCTGACAACCTCTCTATATTCATTCCAAGTGGTCTGACCTTGCTTCCATCTCCTTGTATCTCCTGCTTATGCTTGAGTAATGACAGGAGTTCTTCATTCATCCATGTAAGTCTCTTATCCCCTTTGCCTGATTTCTTGCTCAATGGGATGCATCATTCTTGAGCTTGGAGGAAGTGATCCCTGAATATCAACCAAATCTTTTGGACCCCTCTTCTCTGCAGGACCTCTTCCCATGGGATTCTTCCAAGAAGATCTCTAGAGAGGCTAAAGTTATCTCTCCTGAAGTCCATGATTAGAGTCTTACATGCTCGTGGTCACTACAGCCACAGCTGCCCTAAGTCTTCACATCTCCAACAAGGCCTTTCCTGTTTGCTAGTATAATGTTGAGCAGCACACCATTCCTGGTGGGATTCTCCACTACCTGTGACAGGAAGTTGTCATCAATGCTTTCCAGGACCTCCTGGATTGCTTGTGCTTCACCCTGTAGCTTCTCCAACAGATGTCATGGTAGTTAAAGTTCCCAACGAGAACCATGGCCTGTGACCTTGGGGCTGCTTCCAGCTGCCTGTAGAAGGCCTCATCCACTGCCTCCTCCCAATCATGGGGCCTGTAGCAAACACTCACAACAGTGTCACCCCTACTCGTCTGCCCTTTCATCCTAGCCCATAAGCTCTCTGCTTGCTCATCATCCATTGCCAAGACAGAGCTCGATACATTCCAAGTACTCTTCCTCCATTTGAAATGAGTTATATCACATTTATTATAGACTCCTTTCTACCAGAAGAAAATTGAAGGAAAAAATTTATTTTTACTGACAGGGTGGTAAAACACTAGAACAGATTACCCAGAGAGGTTGTGAAACATCCAGTTTTGGAGTTGTTTAAATAGTAGTGGGCATAGCCCTAAGAAGCAAGCTCTACTTTGAATAAAAATGTTGGTCTAGACCAGCTACAGGGATGACTGCCAGCCTCAGAGACTCTGTGTTCACATGGCTCCATGAAAACACAAACATAATAAAACACAGATAACCGCAATGTGCAACTTCATGTATTTAGAGCTCTTGGAGGTTGTTAAGAGGGTTTTCTGAAATGCTTCATTCACAGAAAGCATTAGCCATAAATCCATACATAAATACCATCCACATCAAGAATGAAATGCTTTACAAAAAATACAGAAACTTTCACCTCACTTAATTCACAACCTGTCAATTTCAGTACCTGCTTAGGCTCAGCCCATCCTGATGGATGGTAGGCCTGCTCGTGCACCAATTTAACAAAGGCCTGCACACATATAGCTAACCACCATGCTGTGATCTCCCCTGTGTTTTTCATGATCTCTGAGCTTTGATCTCTCAAGACAGGGAACTCAAGCACGTCCACAAGAGTGCCTCTAAGTCTCTGTAAACACCTATGGTATCTCTACACAGAGATTCTACTTCTCAAAACAGACAGGATAAACAGCAGTAGGCATAATAGATGGGGTTTCCCACACTGTTATTTTCCAGACCTCAGCATTCCGAGCTGCAAGGTCACTTGAGCAAATCTACCATCCTCCTTGCCATTCTTCTGTTTTTAATCCTTTCCTCCCAACATATGCCCTCAACAGTTTGATATCATTGTGCTCTTACTTCCCTGACAAATATGCAAGTTATTTATCTATACTACTTGGTAAAAAAAAAAGTAATGTGGTCCCTAACAAAATTTTTTCTAATTTTACAGAAAGCACATATATTTCAGAAGTGGCTAATTTTCAGTATCATGCAGACTGGTAATATAAACTGATCAGAATCAAAACAATTGCATATTTTGACCAACTTTATTTGTTTATCTAGTTCTTGAGTATGCTTCTGACAGTAGCCAGCACCAGATGCTTTTGAAAAAGATAAACCTATTAGAGAATAGCCACAATGCACGGAAAGCTTCTTCCAAGCTCTGTCAGTTTGCAATTGGTTTATGGTAAATTAGTAGCAGAGCTTAGATCCATAATACCGAAATCATCTTGTCTGAAGTGCTTATGAGATATGTTTATCCACATAATATTATCATCTTTTCATAGGAGTCCTTACAGCATGCTAAAGAAATCTGAAAATTTTCTGCCACATTTAAGTGTGTACTTAGAATATTCATATATATACTTGTTCCACTGAAGCTAGCATATAATATGATTTTTTTTTCTTCCTTCCTTTACAAATGTAAGACAGGTTTTGACATATTTTTAGTATGACACACTTCCAGGCTATCATTTCTACTCACTGAATCTGAAGTGGCTGGTTCAGTGACTTATGCATTTATTACTCATCAGAACTCAGTAGTAAACATCTTAGTTCAAGTAGTATTAAGAGATAATCCATGGAGGAAAAAAAATGAGAATTTACTTCATACATTTTTTTTTCACTTGGCAAACTGACCTTGTAAATGGAAAATTTATTTTACAATTTTTAAAAAATACAATATATAAAAAAAAGGTACATAATATAACTTGTTACCAAAAAGTTGCCTGGATTAATAAGTGTAACAGATATGTTCATAAAAATCAGAGAAGGCTGTCTGTATAGCATAAAACCAGTATTACATGACATGTCCACATGTGATGATCTGCAGAGCCCCGACAGACTATTTCAATAAATAATTTCATACAGCTTTATCTCAAACACTCCACAGAGATGCACCTTTCCCATTCTTTAAACTCTGATGTTCAAATACTTATTCCCTTGTATGCTACAGCTACCCCAGACATAGTTCAGTTCTAGATGACCTGCATGCTCTTTGAACTCACATAATTTTCTGACAACTACGAGAAAGCTCTTCTAATTAAAGTATCCCATTTAGTTGAGTGAAGAGAAGCGCCACACTTTCAAACAACTTGGGCAAAGATTCCCCAGAGGGTATGTCTTTGTTTCAAAGTTTTAAAGTTTCAGAAGTAGGTATACAAGAACAAAAAAAGATTGACTCTATTTCATCCAGATACTGAGGCATTTAACAGCTAATATGGTCTAGGACAACATTAACCACCTGTGCCTTCATTTGTCACATAAAATTTCAAGTGCATATCTGGTAGTATTTTCTTTCCAAACAAAACGTCGTGAAGTTATGCACAGAGCCCTTCTGGGATAGTGTCTAGACTTCCTCAAGACTTCTGACGCTGTCTCATGATATCCTCATAGCCAAGTTCAGGAACTGAGAATTGGATGAGTGCATGGTGAGATGGATTGAGAACTGGCTGAATGGCAGAACTCAGAGGGTTGGGATCAGTGACACAGGTCAGTTGGAGGCTGGTAGCTAGCAGTGTCCCTGAAGGTTCAACTCTAGTCCCAGTATGATTTAACTTATCAGGGATGGAGTGCCCACTCAGCAAGTTCTCTGATGACACAAAGCTGGGAGGAGCAGCCAATACCCCCAGGTGCTGTGCAGCCCTTCAGAAGGACCTTGACAGGCTGGGCAAATGAGCAGAGGGGAACTTTCTGAAATTCAACAAGGGCAAATGCAAGGTCCTGCACATGGGGAGGAATAATCCCAGGCACCAGCACAGGCTGGCGGCCGACTTGCTGGAAATCAGCTCTGCAGAGAAGGACCTGGGGGTCCTGGTGGACAAGCAGCTGTCTTGTGAGCCAGCAGTGTGTCCTTGTGGCCAAGCAGGCCAAAGATATCCTGGGATGCATTAGGAAGAGGATTTCCAGTAGACTGAGGGAGGTGATCCTGCCCCTCTGCTCAGCCCTGCTGAGGTCACATCTGGAGTGCTGTGCCTAGTTCTGGGCTCCTCAGTATAAGAGAGACATGGAGCTCCTGGAACGAGTCCAACGGAAGGCAACAAAGATAGTTATGGGACTGTGAGCTCCTCACTTATGAGGAAACTGTTAACAATTGGACTTGATGATTTAAGAGGTCTTTTCCAACCTAAACAATTCTATGATTCTGTGAAAGCCTGAGAGAGCTGGGCTTGTTCAGCCTCGAGAAGAGATAACTGAGAGAGAACGCCATCAATGTCTACAAGTATCTGAAGAGTGGGCGTCAGGAGAATGCAGTCAGGCTCTACTTGGCGGTGCAGAGGAATAGGATGCAAAGGGCAGAAACTGGAACACAGGAAGTTCCACCTAAACACGAGGAAGGATTTCTTTACTGTGAGGCTGACTGAGCATTGGAACAGATTTCCAGAGAGACTTTGGACTGTTTTTCTCTGGAGATATTCAAAAGCCATCAATACACAGTCCTGAGTAACGTGCTCTAGGGAACCCTGCTGGAGCAGGAAGGTTGGACTACATGACTTCCAGTGCTCCCTTGCCACCCTACCCATTCTGTGGTTCTGTGTGGAGTCGGAAAATTGGTGTAGCTTAATTCACACTGTATTTTAAAGATCATGAAATGGAAAGTTCTATGCAAACATTCGGTAAGAACTTAGTCAAGAGTTCTATACTTTCTGCTCTCCTGTTATGTAACCCTTTTAAACATGTAGCTTCCAGAAACATTTCCCCTACCTTTATGATGCTCTGACATGTTGAGAGTGGTAAACCAACTAAACTGGTCCCATTGATTGACATGATCTGGTCTCCTATGTTCAGCTTCCCAGACTTCTCTGCCGGTCCTCCATGCATCATGTTCGCTATGATAACTGTAGGCAAAATGGAGCCCCAGCCAGACTCCACAATCACCACACCTAGGATTTCTCCCTTTTGCTTTTCAATGTAAACCTGTATAATAAGAAAAAGTGTTTAAAAAATACTTTTTTTCACATCCATGGAACTTACATCACCCCCTTCCCAACATCTATATAGCCAACAAACATACCCTTCTTTGTTTGCAACCTGTCTTCCTAATTCAAAGCAAAATCAAAATAGGGTACACACTTTACACATTTCATTTGTATTCAAACATTAAATGATCAGCACTACATAATAAAGATTTTGCTTAGTGCAAAAACACCTCTCAAAAGTAATTTCTGTGTATGAGCAGAGGAAATGGAAGAAATCCTAGTGCCTTTGTTTTTGGTGGACAATCCTAAACAGGAAGAGATTGCAAGAGTTTACAACTGTGGATTAGAAAATCATTACCTGTGTGTTCCAGTGGTGTATCGGTTCATTTTTATTAAGCAAGCTGCAAAGCCTTCTGGCACACACAATTATGTAAAAACTGGAATCAGCCACTTTCATAAACACCCAGGCCTCTATAAATTTTACATTATTTACTGTAATCTTTCAAATTGTATTAATCTGTTAATCTGCTTCAAATTCACTTTCAAATGTCTCAAAATTGTTTGGTAAAAAGAATGACAACAGATGGTAAATCATTTCAATGCTGATAACTTTTGGGTTCACTGTTTGCCTTTGAAACAGAACTGACAACAGGGTGTCCTATTAAGGAGGATATTCTAGACTAACTGAGCTAATTTATAGGAAGTATTAAAGGTTTTTTGATTTCTGCCAACAAGGGCCTACAACTGATACAGAACAGCTTAATACTGTTACAGAAAAAAAAAAGATACATACATCTTTGCAATTTTCAGACTTCGAGAAGTGAATCAGGTCATCATTGTACATATCCTGGGTATTGAGCAAGTCGCTATATTCCTTCTGGCTAAGGTCTTCTGGGTTGATTCCATTTGCCCTCAGAAATTCTTGGTAGGCCACACTAAATGCTTGACCTATGGACTGTGCAATCAGCTGCGCCTGTAGCAGTTCCCAGAGAAGAGAAGAGAAGAGAAAAATGTGAAACATTCTGATGGTTGTGTGCATTGACACTTTCTCTGCTACAATCACACTGAAAAATGGATCATCAAGTTGACAAACCTACAATTTACTGCCATCCAGTCTAAAACATATTTGTGCATGACTAATTTAAAAGACCCATAAAATGTCAACACATTCACCTCTGCTGTGAATCCAGCTTGGTAAGCAATAATAAATATCAGAAATGAAGCCATCCTTTCACAGGTAAGAACTGCTAATATAAGGGTAAAGGTATAGCCACTGCAGTCACTGTGGGATGCACCTACAATTCTTCCTACCCATGCAGGTCCCAGATGGTTCTCTCTTCCAGTCAGGACAATGCAATTCTCTGACAAGCCAGCAACGAAAACAAAAATGTCTACTAGAAAACACACAGACACATTTAAGAAGGTATTTCCAACTTTTCTTACCATCCTTTAGGACCATCGTGTTCATATTGACTGCTCCTATCTCAGTCTCAGACAAAATAGGAAAAGGGCAGCAATTAGTGACCAAATCAAGGCCTTGAAGTGACTAGAAATGGTCAGATGCATTTCCTTCTTCAACCTCCTACTTCCTTCAGACTCTCTCCCCTATATTTCTTGTTTCACTCCCTCCAAATCCCATGATTCTGCCAGTTCTCTGCCTCTTTCCTTCTCGTCCTGTCCTTTGTAGGCACCCTCTTGCACCTGCAGCTGTGCTGGCTGTGGCAAAGAGAGGGAAGAGAAGAGGAGAACTCCACAGCTGACATGGCTGGCCTGGCAGAGTGCTGGTGATGAATGAATGCTGCTCAGTTGTATTTTTATAGAGCCTATTTGGCTATATTTAAAGTCCAGTTTGCTCCCTAATAAAGGAAAGGTTCCCAACCTAAATTAAAAATTTGATTGTATCTTAAACAACTCAAACTAGCACTAAATCTGCTGATGAGAACAGCATGATTGCTGGTGCTGAAAAGATCAATACGTAGACTGCCAGTATACTACCAAAGCTCAGATCCACTTGATTTCGACAGCAAGGAGAAGACAGCAAGGAGAAAACTACACTTCCATAGCTTCATAACTTAAGTCATGAGATAAATGCAGACTTTAAATTCATACACATGTATCTTCACTCCAGGAAGAGTCCAGCTCCCAGCATTTGGACACATCACTGGGGTTCGGCTCATTTGAAGACATAGCTCTAAATAGAGTTGAAAATCTGGCATTGTCCTCTTTAGACAAGGACTTGTCCAAGCAGAGACATATTCTGGACAACACCCACTTGCAGGCTTACAGCTTCTGTCTCACTCTGTAACTTCTACTCACCGTGTAACTTCTTCCAAATACCCAGCTGTCCCAGAAGAAGAAAAGACAAGTTTTATAATATAAACAGGCTGCATTACTTCATTGGACATACAAGATTTTTGAAGAAGCCATTTCCTTCCTGCTAATAAGGTGCTACAATGCTTCCATTGTGTTAGTCACTTTGAGACACATTTTGCAGGCTATCTGTGAACTACATACCCTAAGGAGAGCTGATATAATCTGCCATTTCTCAGCATATTTTCACATGAATGAGTAATGCTTTTGCTGAATTTACAAGCATGTACTTTCCAAGCCAATGTCTAGTGGCACAGAGGGGATCACATCTGAAACAAATATGGGCTGATCCAAAGAAACCATAAATTGAGAAGCATAGATCCCAGCTAGGCAAATGTCCCAGTGAGCAGCCTGGGAAACAGATCCAGGAAGCCTGGATCATCCAAGAGTCAGACCACCACATGCTGAAGTAAAATAAGCCCCAGCCTCTGACATCTGACAGTTTCATTTTTGCTTTTTCAACTGGCCAGTAAGAGAGCAAGCAGTATCAAAGTTTGTGACTAGAAATACAGGAACAGTAGCCTCAAAACAGGCAGCCTATCAAATGGTATTAAGCGAAAAATATTTTGGCTACTCTTTCTTTCATACCAGATTCTTGAAAAGCTTTGCAAAACTGGTTTACATGTTATTTTGTGGGACAAAACCCACATTTTTTATATTCTCTGTCATAATTTTGGTACAGGATTACTTTGGATCAGTGCTCTCGTCTTTATTTTTAATTTCAGCATTGGGTCATGTATATACATTTATCAGATCAACCAGATGATTTATTCAGACGTGGGTTTAGAACAGATTCATCACTACATAAAATCAGCTGTTTATTCAAAAAAATCTTCCCATCTCCAAGTCCTTGGTGATATACTGTAGATTGGAAGATATGTGAGTATTTTATAAGAAACTGATGTTTTCACCTTACTTATGTAACACTCTGCTATTTGGATGATTTAGAATTGAGATTTTTTTTATTTTCATGAGTTACTAGGCATAACATGATTATGATCCTGACAACTAAATATCTAGCCACTTCAATCTGATATGTCTGATTTTACCATTCAGTTACTGAGCTTTAAAAAGTGCATAAAATCAGCAGGTTCTGCACATTGATTGTGAAGACAGGATATCAAGTCCTACATAAGCTAACTTAGTAACCTGCACTATAGACTAAAATCTGTTCTCTCTTCAGAGACACACTTTGGAATTGTTGAAATTACCAACTTTATTTGCAGGCTTTTTGATATGGTATCAGCAACTGACCCCCCAACACAAGCCTCCTGAAAAATAAAAGATCACTTTTCAAGTATGTATCAGTGCTTGATCCTTGATGCAAGGCTTGGGATTAAAATTTTCCTAGGAAAATAAGCATATCTGATAGACTTTCACTCTCTTGTGCAGAATCTGAGCTGGTATTTGTAAACTGTGGCAACTGGACCCTCCTCTCACTGTTATTGGAAGGCAATCAAAGAGATTAAAAATAGGAAGCACTACTATGAACACCAATTTCTTGAGTAAAATGTTGGGGTCCAAACATATAAAGTAAGTTCCTCTGTTTAGATGAAATAGTGGTTGCAGTTTAAAAGCAAGCAGGGCCACTAACAGTGAACATCAGACCTACTGAAATGTGCTTACTTTTCCATCCCTAAAAAATTATAAGACAAAGTAGTTGCTTACATCCTCAGACTCAAAGACATGGCAAATCATTTTGTACTGTCTCTTTCCGTCTTGGGAAGGGTGAGATGCTTCCACATTATCCTGGGAGTTAGACCGTGGCATTCGCCTACGAGCCATCAAAACAACTATATTTCCTATATCAGCAATGTAAGAAATGGTCCGCAGGGGATGATCCATCATGGTTTCCTGCGGAATAAGAAAACCAATATAAGCAGCTGCTTCAACCAAGTTCTTATTGCACACCTAAGATGAAAACACACAGACAGCAATAAGACCTTTGCTAAGTGAAGTCTGTAATACCTGCAAGAAGGGAGATGCCAACAGGAAACAAGAGCTTCAATTTTCAAAAGTAAAACAAAGTTTTACAAATTAAAGGTTTTTTTTTTCTGTGTAAAATCACATAAAGACCTCAATATCTGAACGTGTGTATGCTGGGCATGTACATGTAGAGGACTATGAACAAATTATTACAACTAAACATTTTGGACTACTCTGAGCACAATCAATACTTCATGCATCAGAGTTCATGAGAAATGAGATGACTGCAACTACTTTACCCACAAATTCTAACCATTTCTAGAGTCACACACCAGAGTAATTGCCTGTATGATACAGTTGTTGACCACAGATTTCTTACCATGAAATCCTGGGGGAAATACAAGAGCCAGCACATTTTGAAGGACAAATTTTGGCATGTAGGTGAAAGTCTATTTCAGTAGACTACTCGCACAAAACTGACAGAAGTGTTTATGCCTGTACCTGTGTGTCTGCATTCAGTACTTTTATTCTCTGTGTAGAAATGAAGAGGTCTACTTCAGTCATGGGTTGAGATTCACCTTCTGGAGCCTGCAAATAAATGGATTAGAGTCAAACAAACCCATTAGGTAACATATTTACTAATGATGTTAGTTCACAAACAAGGATGCACTAAGACACAGTCATCAGAACAGCAATGCAGGATAGAGTATTAGACTGCAGAAGCAAAAGATAAACACAAAGATGTGGAAACTATATCATATATGTGAAAGTGAATTGGGTATCATTAGAAAAAAAAATCAACCTCATAAAAGCTTCCCTGATATTTTTCCCAATTCAGTAAAATTATAACTGACTGCAGTATGAACCAGATAGAGATTTCATGAAAATCAAAATAATTCTACCATTTTCTGCACACTATGAATCCCACTTTACGTAAGGGTTTCACACAAGCCATAGAAAGGCCCAAGAGCATCTCTTGCCCAAGGAATCTCTATATGGGCTAACAGTGGCTGCCAAGACCAATGGAAAAACCTGTACCACAGGTGGGTAGTATTTAAGCAATTCATAATGCAGTTCTGCTAAGAAGACCTTCACAGTCAGACAACGTACTATTCAAGCAGTAACCCACCTTTAGAAGTCATATTTTGTTAATAGAAAGCAAAACATTCATAATTTTTTAAAATTACATTTGTTAAAAGGTACTTAGAAGCTCCACAAACAAAACTTATTACAAAGATGAGCCAATTTCAGTATATTACCGTGTGTATAGACAAACTTTTTTCTTTTTTGCATCCAGCAATTTGACATCTCTGTGAATCAAACAATGCAGCCTTACAGAAAGATTAAAAAAAAAAAGGGCTAAAAGAAAAAAAAAACCACACCTCATTTTAATCTATCATTTTACAGAGTTAAAACCTTTGCCTGTTTCAGTACTGATTCTTTAGTATGCATTTTGGGTACTGCCTGTAACTATTTGATAAATCCAATCTTTATTCTATTCTAACATGAAATGGCTAATGATAAGCAACAAAAAATGGCCAATCAGGCAACTGATTTCTGACACATGTCAGCTTGTATGGTGGCTCAGAAATAAATCTGAAAAAACCTTGCTGGATGCAGAAAATAAAACCACAAAATAAAAAGAAAGGAAAAAGCCCTCCCAGAAAACAAAAGAACAAGCATAACATCAAGCTGATGGAGTTTGTACTGCACCTTCTTCCTGCTTTTGGCTAATTTCTGGGCCATCTGCTTAGCGTGGAACAAACAGAGACAGGAGAACAGTTAGAGAAAAACTTACAGAGACTCCAAGTCAAGCAGGAATCTGCATGCTAATGTCAGGGTTCATAAACTACTAGCTGATCTAAATTAGTCCCTGCTTAGATTAATTTCCTCCTTTTCTTTTTGGCTTAAAAAAAAATTTTATGTTTAGCACAATTACTTTCAGAAATGAAAAGAAACAGCATCAAAAGACTCAGGAAGAACACAAAAGAATTTTTTTTCACTTAAAATGTTACTTGCAATAAACAAGGTTATTTTGTGTGTAATTGGGTTTTTTTGTTTGTTTTTGGTTTGTTTGTTTTTTTTTTTTTTTTTAAGAAACAAAACAGAGCTTCCCATCACTTCCAGCAGTATAAACCATGATGTTACTTCTTTTGAAGGCACATCAATGTAAGAGGTGAGAGAAGAATCCTAAGCCTTGTTATTCCAGCTTTTTTGGATCTCATACTTTAACAGACTTCAAAAAAATAACCTCCTTAAAATTATGCTACTGTTTCCTGGAAAAATAAAATGACAGAAGGTAACTGTCCCCTTCATTTTCTTCTCCTTCTGAGCAAATAAACCTGTATTATACTAATAAACCCATGTTCACACTGGACATGTTCTCTAGACAACAGATTTTCCTGTGACACCTACACAAAGGTAAGTCCATACTACCACATCTTTTCAAGGAAGCAGTGGAGCAAGTACTTCAGTTCCACAAACACCTTAAAACAGGTTTCCACTAACAATGTAAATAAATATAATTTTTACAGTCCTGCAATCATTAATTCAAATCAAGGTGAACTGAACTTCTGGACCTCCTTAGTGAAGAAATGTAATACTCACCAGGCTGGCAGTTACCCTTTTACTTCCAACACTAACAGTCTCTTTGCTGATTAAATTAACAGGTGTTCTTGTGATGGGAAGGAGGCTTACTGCTACAGACTCCATATAGATTCAGCCCTAACTACTTTTACGAAGAACAAACAGGAGGCCTGAATCACAAGACACATCAAATGTTTTACACTGATGCTCAAAACTTAAAGCTATCAGGTTTTGTCTAAACAAATCTGAAAGCAGCTACCCAAAGTTTAGAACATGCTGCATATTTTCAGATAGAAACATTCTCATACTAGCTTTTAGTCATCTCTTTCAAATTAAAAAGTATTTGATAGCCTGGTGATTGCAAACTATTAGAACTGCCTCCCATAGCAGGCTCTTCATTACATGACTATTAATTTAAATTAATAATATACTTATCTTGAATAACAGCTGCCTGCCATACACTGGGTAAGGGGGAGATACTCCTGAGGTAGAGCATTTAAACTGCTTTCTAAAATCAAGCTCCTCTTCTGACACTTTGTCCTCCACCCCAAACTTTAGTGACAGACCTCCCAAAGGAAGAAAAGCGCAGCCCAAAAAGAAGAAATGAGAGGAAAAAAACCCTGAGCTATTAAAATACACTATCAGTCAATTTATTGAAAATTCTGTTCTTCAAATGGAAGCATTTTGAAGAACAAATTTCAAATATTTCTTAAAAGTAAGGTCATGATATGGAACAAGCACTTCTAAATCTAATAAGTGATTTAACAATGCACAGAAATGTCACAAAAAAAGATTATAGTGCATGAACAACAAAAAAATTAGGATAATTCTATGCAGGACACTTTATTATACAAATCCTTTTTGTCACCATGTTATTTTGCTAATTCAAATCAGAAGAGTATTTAAAAAAACCCCAGAAACTATCTAATCTATATAAAATATTATTTTTTTAAAATACACAGAATTTGTGATTTTCACATAAGGTAAATGAAATGTCATTATTTATATATTATCTTTTTATTTTCCAAAATTACAAAATATTAAAAACCAGTAAGCTTCCACTTTTGCTACAGGGGTGTCTTAAGTTTACTCAACCCATTTAGCCTCTCTGGAAAATATACTGTAACTCTGCGAGCATTGAGATGACACTGAGTAAAGAAAATGTGCAGAATATTAAACTATTTCCACTCAGAAATTGAACCAGTTATTATCTAAAAATGCTCAAACCTGCCACACAGCAAACTAAGAGTGCCTCCTAGTGAAGTATTCATAACTACATTTGATGAATACCTTCAAAAGCACTGCTTCTGTTTTAATTTCGTTGGACTTCACAGAAATGAATGGCCAAGCAAGAAAACATCCAACTCTTGTACTTATAACTGAAGAAATACCTTTTTAAAGAAGTAACATGGAAAATTGTTTTCACAATCTGTTCATATTCTAAATGAATGAATATGTGGTTTGAAGGCTCTGCTATAAGGAAGCATTATAGGGATTATTAAATTCAAAAGGAACACACTGTGATGTGTACATCACAGGTCTTAAACAAAACTCTTCACCCTCCTTTTTAATGCTCTTAACTTCAAGCCTGCATACTTTATACATATGGGATAAAAGCTATCTGATGCAGTGATGAATCTGGCAGCAGCAACTCCTTCTATCACACTGAATTTCTCACCAAAACCGTTCAGCTTAAATGGCAATCAGTGACAAAACCAGTCAAAGCCCACCCTAACAAACAAACCAAAGACCATAAGGTGAAGGGAGGTTGCCTGAGCTTCACTTAGAAGCAAAATGCAGTAACTATCAAAGAAGTGTACCATGGTATTGTGTGCCATGCAGTAAGCCAATAATTTTCTGAAATAAACTGAGCTTCAGAAAATTAGTCACAACAGCTAGGGTTATACCAGGTCAACAATGCAACTATTTGGACCTCAGTCCTGAGACAAGTATACTACAACAAAAAATACGCATGCCCACCAATTTATATGGATGTATAAATTATGGGAGATATGAATGAAATGAGTTAAATAGATTTCTTTCTGTTTTGAAGCACAGAAGTGCTGAAACATAACAATATTTTAATGAATTTCTAAGAAATACATTTAGTATTAAAGAAAGATTCTCATAGGCCCAATTTAAATAAATTCTGTTTCATTTTCTCTACCACATCCCTTCAATCTTTTTTGACTGTATATTCCCACAGAAGCTTTACCTTCTAGGTACAAACTTCCTGCCCAGTCCCAGGCTCAAGTGTCACTCCTGATATCATTTTCCTATGACAGCTGATGCCAAACTTTCCTTTCAACCTCCAGTGATGTGTCACTCCTAGATCCAGCCTCATCAAAGCCCTTACTTCTCTCCCTTATCTTTCTTACCTTTGGTTTCCCATCCATTCAAATCAGACAAATTTTCTACCAGATGGCCAAGCACCAGGAAAGAATACATAGGGACTACCAAACAGAGGGGTACAGCCTTACTTGCACCCAGAGCAGAAATAAAGCAGACTCAATAAGGGAAACCACTGCAGTTTTAGGAAGAACCCACCAAGACCTGCCAGGGTCGAGAAAGCTGAGTGAAACATGTTTAAAGAATGTTACTGAATACAGAGTCTGCAATGAACAAAGATAAATCATTCTTTTGCAAAAGGCTCAGTAGTTTAAGTTTGTGAAAACTTCTACAGAGATGTCAGAGGATGATCTGTCTTTAACAGGAAGGCTACATCCCAGCCTCTTCTAAAATGCTAGAGTGTTAATGATTTTCAGAGACAAGGTTACAAGAACTTATGCATTAGAACATCATCAAAATTGCAATTTATGGTAGTCTCTCAATGGTTCTAGTTGGAGCTTCTGTGTTAAAGTTACATACTGAACTGAACACCTGTTATGGAAAACACTGGAAGGAATTATAATAGTAGGAAGCATCAGCCGACCTTAACAGACAATACTACTGGCTTTGCTGATAACCTTCTCTCCTCTTCCTCTCTCTTTTATACAATCACACACCAAATCTGAGCTGGAACCCAAAATAAACTACAAAAGAAGAACACACAAATATTAAACTAATTAAAATTCCCAGAGGAGATTGTGTTGGTTAGCTGAATCAGGAGAAGACGAAGCTGCATGGCTACCATTCAGTCATGTATGGGTAGTGGGAATATTGCAGCATCTTGTACAACTGTGTAATATTTCATTCACACGTATAATTTCAGTTGACAGTGTCATAACTGTAACTTCAAATACAGCAGCACGCCCATTGCTTGTCCTGGCCTGTACAGAAATTGGCTGGCATTTCTTTTTTCCAAACAAACAAAGCAAATGTACCATATTCTAGGACAAGTTATTTTTATTTCATACATCTCTATACTATCACAGATGTTTCCTTTTTAAATCAGCACCTAGCTGCTATGTGTGGAGAAACAAGTATCCACACCAGGGTCAAAAATAACTGCAATCATTATCACAGTAGCAATTGCATCAAGTGCCGAGGCTGAAGCAGCTGCAACACTTACTAGTTGTGTTTTATACTCTAAACCTGTTTTCCCTCAACATCCAGATAACATATAACTTTGACCATCACTCACTTCAGATTCTGGCTTAGTGTACATGGCACAAGTATTATTACAGGGAATTAAAATGACCTGGTAACTCCCCCTTATCAGTCTTTTCCAAAAGTAGCATTAAACATATAATTTTTTTTGCAGAAAGAAAGGTGAGGCACTTTACCTTTCTGAAACCATAGATAACCTCACATGCAGAATTTACTGCATAAGTGAGAAGGTCACATCCACAACCACAAGACACCCATACAAGAGGCAGCAGGAATCATTCCGCACCTTGATTCTGCTGACAGCTTCCTGAGCTTGCATCATTCTCACATTCTTGGAGGGAGTTTTATCAGAAAGCAGTTGAGTTGAACCAAGGTAATTGGCAGCAAAAATGATTCCATCGATTAAGTCTTCAGGATCACAAGGTCCGGGAACTGTAACACAGGAAAGAATCACCGAAATAATCACACTGAACCACAGCAAAACAGCAGCACTTTGACAACTTGAGCCTGCACCTGATGGCTGCAAATCCTCTGAAATACTTCAGTTTACTATGATGATATGGCAACCAGTACTTTCAAAGTACAACACAAAATATTAAGCAAATGCTCTCAACATCTGTGGTGAGTTGACCCTGCCCACCAAAGCAGTTCAATCACCCCCCTCCTCATCTGGGCAGAGGAGAGAAAATATAACAAAAGGCTCATGGGGAAAGACAGGGACAGATACTCACTAATTATTGCCATGGGCAAGACAAACTTGACTTGGAAAAATTAATTTATTTTATTACCAATCAAATGAGAAATAAGAAAAAATGCTCCAACACCTTCTCCCCACCCTGGCAAGTTTTTTCATAGACTGCTGCACATTTGTATTTTTAAGGAATTTTGCATTGGACCAAGATCTAAGAAAATTTTAGTTTACTTTTTTTTATTTTTTTTTTCTTTTAGGAGAAGAGGATTATTTTAAATAGCCCTTGGTAGAGAGGACTACCAATAGGAAATGAATTTAAATTCTAGAGAGACCTTTCATTGCTGCAAAATTCCAATGCTCAGCTATGGACTAATTGACAATCTGGCCAGAGACTCCAAAACATGCAGCTTATACACTGAAGACTAAACCAATGATCAGTTTGCAGTCTAAAGAAAACAATCAATTAAGCACAGCACACTGTAAAGCAATTGAAGGAGCTACAAGGCAGTCCAAAAAAAGTATCACATCAACCGTATTTCTGACATTTCATCAAGTATACAGAACAACCACTGGGGGGGGGGGCGGGAAAGAAACTTCTATTTTCTGCTTCTGTCATGCTCTCACAACAAAATAACTGGGTGTTACAACATGCATTCTTCCTACGGTATTACAGGATGCACTCACACAAAAGGTAACAGTAGTTCATGTAGGAGGTAACTTGCTTTTACACATTGTTCTGAATAAATTCAGCACTAGTGCAGCCTTAACTCCAAGACAGGAAGCATTATTTAATTAGAGGACAAGTAGCTGTAAAGCAGAGCAGATTTCCTCTGGCAGGCCTGCCAATTAATCCAATTCTGCTAATTAATCCAACTGAGACTGGATTAAGCCTGCCAATTAAAATCAACACTGGACAGAGCACCACAGTGTTAGCCTATTTTCCTTGTCCACAGAAATTCATACATGTTGTGTAAATACCATAAAAATGTAGTATTTTAAGTGATATTGAGAAAAAACCCCAGTAGAACAGACACAGAAACTACAAATTAAATACTATAAAAATAAAAGCTCCATGTTTATGAAGTTCTGAAAGACTACAGTAGGATTTAGCTTAGGATCACGTTCCAAATTGGACATAATTTAATCTAAAACAGCATACCCAACCCTAGTAGCTTTTCTATTCAGCAAATAAAATAGTTTTTTATTTTATAAACCCATGCCAGTGGGTTTTTGATACCAAAAAAACCATTTAGAAGTTGTAGATTTATCTTACCTTCAACATACGTCGGAAATGAAGCCAAGCTTTTTCTGGACTGTAATTAAGACAAAAAGGATTTCAAACAGAACATAACATGCACAAATACACATTAAAAATTCTTCCAGACACACAAAAAAAATATTAAATGAGTCACGGTTATTAGCAAAGGAAGATCACCAATTATTAATATTTATTATTATATTTAGTATTTTCAAAATCTAAGCACCTACTAGAGTAAAATTCAATGTATTTCATTTCCATCTATCCACCAAGCAATATGCTAGGCCCAGACTTCAGTTCTTATTGGTTTTCACTAGTGCATTAATTTAATTGTCTACCAATAGGTGCTATACTTTTAATAAGAAATATGCAAGAAAGTATATAATATCTCAAAGACATTGGATCTTCCAACAAATAAATACAGGCAGGAATATAAAAAATGCACTATACTGTTATTATTCATTACTGAAACCATCATTAACAAAATGCTGTTATTCATTAGGACTGTTCTTAGATGTATCCCTCATTAACGCAGTCTACAAAAGGCTTTAGAAATTTTACCAGGTTATGTATTCCATGGGATAACTGAATTCACTGTGGGCTCACCACCAACTGTGCTTACACCATATGAAGCACAAAACCACATTTGGTAGCTTCAATTACATAAAGAGTAAAGAAATAGAATACTGAGTTCCATGTGTAAATAAACAGACTAAAGGAAGACCTTACTTCCAACTGGTATGTTATATGAAAGACTTCATGACTAACACTTCAAACATCTGAAAGCTAAAAAATTTCAGTGAGTAAACCATATTATATATAACATATTATGTTATAAACAATAACATAAACTACATATGAAAATTTATCAAATAAAATTCTGTGTGGCAATATATAGATGGTAATGGGTATACTGAAATACCTGTTGCTATCATATGCTGATAGGACTTCTGGATAGTTTAAGGATTACAAAACTTTAATGAATCTACAACTGACTGTACCAGCAGTAACTCCTCCAATAACTGCTTGATATAATTTTATTAAAAGAAAATCCATACCTATGATCAGAATAATGCATAATATCTTTAACAATTTTCAGTATATTTCCAGATGATACAAAGGGAAATATATGACAAATTATTTTTCTTTATGACAGGCAACTGGGTATTAGTGGAAAAAACAAGTAACAGCAAGGTAACAGTTATGTGACAGGTCAATTGACTAACCCCAAGGAGTCTTTTTCCTTTGTAAGAAGTGGAAAAGGATGTAACAAGTAATATTTTTTAATCAATGATGCTTGTCTTGCTATAAAATGAAATTTTCAAAACAAAACCAAAAGCTTGTGGCACAGACAGCAGAGCCTGCACAGCCTTTGAGTTCTTGGCACTCCTTGAGCTGCAAGACTAAGAAATCTGTCCATCAGATAGTGTACCAGCATCAGTAAAGATGTCAATAATGAATCCACTGCCAAGGCATTTAAGCTGGTTTGAGGACACTGGTATGCCTTTTCAGATCTGTGGCTCTTTTCATCTCCTCGAATGTTCCTACCAAACCACCTATCCACAGACTCCAACAATTGTTTGTAATAGTTGCTGGTGTAGTGCTAAAGAGGAGATTCAGACACTGGGCTCTGACAGGCTTAGAGAACAAACCCCTACACACCAGAGGCAGTTCATGCATATAAATGATCTTTACTTTTTTTTAAACAGAGTGGACAACGGCTGTGATACAGATTTAGCAACTATTCAGCAAACCAACTAGCAACCTATTTTTAGGATAGAGTGGTGTAAACCATCATCATATATATTTTTATTGCAAAAACTCACACACAAATTTAATGTCCCTTGTTCATAACCCAGGCTGAAATACATTCTACTAAGACCAGTAGAACAGTAAAGTAACAGGTAAAGTTACCAATAGGTGGAAACCTACACCTTTTAATTTTACATAACCATGAATAATAAAATATCAAGGTCATTAATATTTCATTACTCTTGATAATGTCATTGCCATTTAGTATTATAAAATTTATTTTTAAGAAAAAGTTTTCCTAAGCCCTAAAATTCAATCCCAAAAATTATGAGGTTGTTTTATCACTTTATTCTTGCCTCAGAATACTAAGGCAGGAAATATTCCCCATCTGAGAGAAACTAGCAGCTGACACATCCTGCTGTGAAACCCAGTTTACCATCTCTGTAACTCTGCATAAACACATCCTAAAAACCTGAAACGAGTAGTGTCTTGTTTGTTTTCTTCCTTTGGTACATTTACTGATATCTAAAAATCGCTAAAATATATAATATATATGAAGAAAGCTGAAGGCTTTAATAAACTAACAGTACAGCAGATGAAAACTTAATGGCATGATCTACTGTTGAAAACTTTGGTATGTGAAAAATTATGGGTTTCTCCAGTCTTTTGAAACTTCATTATCTTCTAAATGCAAGTAGAGACTGGCACAACTACATACATGTTGAAAGCTTTCTTATCCCTTGGTAATTACAAAAGAAAAATAGAAAGAATGGATTACTAATTAGTGTTTCAACTGTAATCAGTATTTCCTCTTGTAGTGGATCAGGTTTTTAATACAGTAAGATAATTCAAGAATTGCTATTGGTAGCAATACAGTATTTGTTACTCTACAGTTTCTACAATGGTTTATAAGTTTAAAAATTAAGAAGTAAATAAACCAAACATCTGCAGATTCTTCTGCTTACAGAGCCTGCCATTCTATACTAACTCAAATACTTGTTATGTCAAAGCATTTTATTTTCACACTGCAAGAGGTTCTACTCACACTTTTCATTTTGTGTTGGTGGAATTACTGCACTGTAAAGCACTGCTAGGTGAGGGGAAAAAAAAAAGAAAGCAAGTATGCAGCTTTATTTTGAGGAGCCTGGAGTTAGGAACTGAATTCTGACTATGAATCACTGGCAGGACAGTTTCTACAATGACAAAATATTAAACAGCATAATTTACTACCTAACTGATTTAATTTAAGGACTTTTTTATCTGGCTGAGAAATATTTTTTTTGTGGGAAAATAATCTGCATGGATAAAAGGAAAGGGCTTCTTTGTTTTGCCTCTACTACAGAGGAGATGTTGGGTAAATCAATACCTCCTAGCCTGTTAAATAAATTTAGTGGCAGCTGAACACAGAGTCAGAAATGCCACGATTAAGAGTCTTAAGTATGTTAGAAATTCAGTCAGACAGCCAGGCAAGCACAAGGGAAAGGAGCATAAGGGAAAAGCATAAAGGAAATCAGTTTTTCAAGTTTATTACAATTTTGAAAGAAGAAAAGGGATTGTGCAGGTGCAAGGGGGCAAAGAAAATTAAAGCATGCATAAGCATAAGCATCATGAACAAGACTGTGGTTTTTATAAGATTTCACTCTACCTCTTTATTAGTGGAGGCCTCTGCTGTACTGCAGACATCCTGGTGATGTTGCCTACTTGATGATTCAGCACCCCGAGGTGAAGAGGAATCTGGAGATGGAGACTAGACATGGCAGGAAAATGAAATAATATTATGAGTGTCCAATGTAGAAATTCTTCTTTCATATTTTCCTCTAACTTGACAATCTCTAATCAAAGTAGAGATGAGGGGAAAAAAAAGACAAAACAAGACGAACACTTAAAATGCTGTAACCCTTGCTTTTTATGATAATGATCACATTTCAATATCTCAGTGAACTTATTTTGAACAGCTAAAAGACACTTGTGTTTATTTGTCAGTAATGTATGAAACTAAACAGTTGTGAAAATTGAAACCTGTACTTGGTGGTAGGCAACACTCAGTCAAAAAGGGAGTCAAGTATTTTTGCGTGAATGGAGGACCATCTGGCATTGGGATAACTATTTGCTCTTACTGTCATCATTCAACTAAGCTGCAGTTACAGGACTTTCAGCTGCAGGAGTGCATGACTGCGGCCTGCAGAAAAATGTCTGAGCTTACTGAAGGCTGCAGACAATGCAGACCGATATCCTGAGCTCTGACACTCCAAGAAAGAAAAAAGGTGAAGTCACTTAGCAGTAAGCTCTGGTGTGAGACAAGTGAATTGACCCTACCAGAACACAGGGATTCAGCTAAAGATTACTTAGTTGTCAAACTCGGGAAAGTGAAGAAAAGACTGCAATTTCCCCACAAGCACACATGCTCTCAGGTATAATCTCCTGAGGTGCTAAACTAATTTAAACTGAGCAGAGGGAGGCTGCACTGGTTGTCCATAAATGTTATTCCATCATCTTACAAAACAACTTTTATAAACTGTGCAGAGTAATACTGGTGTATTCAAGGACTTGTGCACATATTCAATGATTATTCAATACCATTGTAATCAAGGATGGTGATTCCTCATTCTAGATACACTGCAAACTTGGAAGATATTCCACAGTTCATGCTATGATCTCAGTAATATACATGCTCTTTAGATCAAATTTCCTCATTTTTCTCTTTTCACTGAAAACAATTCAGTGAAGCAACTGTCTACGTGATCTGCCAGCAAGTATCTTGATGAAGGGAAAGAATGCTTTGGGAAAGGATATTCTAATCATAGACAACTTCTAATGAATGCTGGTGACACTAAAAAGCTGTAGCAAGGTATCTATAGTACATAGCAGGGGGCCCTGGTATGGGGGTATATGACACAGGAACACAGAGTATGGAATCAATGAAGGTGACCAAAATGAAAGAGTACAAAGCTTTAACCCAGCAAGCATTTTTAGAGGCAGATTTTAAGGACATACCTGTAAAACATGCCTCTGCAAGCCAAAATGTGAACCTTCAAAGGAAATTTAGCATTTAGCTATGCAAGCTAGATGTTTAGCCCAACAGCCCTGGCATTCTACACTCTCCTTTGACACAAGGAGACCATGGCCCTAGCTTTGCTAACTCAGCAGTTCATCACAGATGGCAAAACACTCAGCTGCTATTCTTCTCTTTTCATAAGCAATTACATGGCATGGCTTTTCTCTAAGCCAATGAGTCATACCAGAAAAGGGCTACATTTCCAGTGTTCTGAGCTGGCAGCAGCTCCAATCTAGGAGTGCCCTTGTGCTCTGCATCCACTCCAGCTGCAACATTGCATTCTATAAAACGTGGTACAAAATTTAAAAAAACCCACCAAAACCAAACAACCAAAAACCCAAACCACTAAGTTTCTCTTAGATATGGAACAAAACAAGAAACGGAACTGCCTTCTCCTCTTTCTCTTTACACTCATTGCTCTAAAACATCCATCTCAGATAATAACTAGGTATTAAAATTATAGTTAACTAACAAAGGCTTCCAAAGAGTTAAGGTGCAATTCCTTACACATACGCCTCCTAGGTAGAAGAGCAGTCCCTGCATCTCCCTGTATTTTGAATTACAACTGTAAGGTAAAAAGGAGACGCAGCTGTGACACCGTCCCTGACCAGATACAGCTGTGAAATGGTCCCTAGAATCCTGGGATTTGTTTGTGCCATCAGAGTGAAGAACTGCTCACTGTACCTTGAGCATTCAAGCAGGGTCTGTGGATGAAATACAGGCTCATTTGGCTTGCTGTGCAATTACCAGAGTTAACAGTGCAACAACGGCAGAAATAGCAATTCTATTTACATACGGAAGTGTATTCATAACACTCACATTCTTAATAGTTATGCAGTATTTTTGTGTTAGGATTAAATATAAAAGGCTCACAATACTATCAATTCAATAATGACATCCAGATATTGTAGGATTGCGCTTTAAACAGTAGAAAAAGAAACCAAGTTAAGCACCAAATGTTTCCACACACACAAAATATCTTTAGAAGGCCTGAAAGCTCTGATATTTATACACTGAAGGGTAACAATTAATTTTTTAAACCAGATATCTGGCATTAAGAAACTTTGCACCATTCAAAATGTACTAACAGTTACTCCAGTAGCACTACAAATACTTTTACTCTGCTATTTTCATTTACAAAGTATCAGAACTAAGCAACCATCAAAATTATCACAGGCTTTCTGTAGGCTCTGTTTCAATGTCTGCTCAAATACTTCTGGGGGGAAAAAAAGAAAACCAAAACCAAATCAAACCAAACAAACAAAAAAACCCCCTCAAAACAAACAAAAAAACCCCAAAATCAAAACCAACCAACCAACCAGTACTCCCCAAACTACAAAACTGAAATATCAAACATCCTACAAAGTTTGCTACATGACATGACATGAGAGCTATCATGTGCAAAAACATTTGTAGAAAAAAGTTAAGACTTGGAAGAACAAACACTCATTTTCAACACCAAAATGCATTTTTAAAGGTACCATATATAACATACAAAGAAAGAATGCAGTCACAGCAATAACAAGTAATATTTTGATAGATCGTAGTGGATAGACAACTTGCATAGCTGCTGTAAATAAAGTATAAAATAAAAACTTAGTGACTGCTCTGTTGTCATTAACAAAACAAGTTTTCGAAGCCTAACAAAAATGTCAGAACAAACACAGTAAGCTCACGTGAAGTATGCCGTTATTGGGTACAGAAGTCCATCAATGGAATTAGAATGTTTTTTTCTTAAGTGCATCAGTAAAAAAGTGCTAGTTACCCCATTCTTCCTCTCCAGTATCTACTTACATTTTTCTTACGATATTCAATCTGGTACATCCAAAAATTCTCCATCTCAATTTTGGTGTTGTTTGACTCTGACTAATGTGCAAGCCTCTCCACGTGCGAAACCTTCCTTGCTACTGTGCAGAGAGATTTAGTAACAGAACTTGTAAAAGGAGAGGATTGAGTTACATCTAGCTTATCCAGGTCAATTCAGCTGTTTACTGCATAGCTCATGAACACAAATGTAACTGACACTGGAGCATCTCTAAATACAAGCACTTGCTCTCGCTTTATAAAAGCAGTGTTGTTTTACATGCTTTTAGCAGCAGATCACCTGAAAAGAGTATAACTTTTGGGTCACATAATCACACACAAGGCTGGGACAGAGGGGATGAAATCATAGAATCATAGAATATTTTCTCTTGGAAGGGACCTTAAGATCATCTAGGTTCTACTGCCCCTAGATCAGCTTGCTCAAAGCCCTGTCCAATGCTTGAACACTTCCAGGGATGCAGCATCCACAGCTGCTCTGGGTAAACTGTGCCAGTGCCTCATCACTCTCACAGTAAATAACTTTTTCCTTACATTTAATCTAAATCTACTCTCCGACAATTTGAAGTCATTCTCCTTGTCTATCACTGCATGCCCTTGTAAAACATCCCTCTCCCAGCCCTCAGTACTCTTTAGGTACTGAGAAGCTGCAGTAAGGTCTCCCCAGAGTCTTCTCTTCTCCACTCCAACTCTCTCAGGCTGTGTTCATGGAAGTGCTCCAGCCCTCTGATCATCTCCCTGGCCTCCCTCTAAATTCACTCCAGCAGGTCCACATCCTCCTTATGTCAGGCTTCCCAGAACTGGAATCAGTACTCCAGGTGGGGTCTCATAAGAGCGGAATAGAGAGGCAAAATCACTTCCCTCAACCTGCTGGCCACACCGCTTTTAATGCAGCCCAGGATATTGTTGGCTTTCTGGGCTTCAAACACAGCTTATGTTCAATCTTTCACCCCCCAGTATCCTCAAGTCCTTTTCTGCAGGGCAGCCCTCAATGAGTTTTTTCTCCCAGTTTGTATTTGTGTTTGGGATTGCCCCAACCCAGGTGTAGGACCTTGAATCTGGCTTTATTGAACTTCATGAGGTTCTCACAGATCCCCTTCTCAGGCTTGTCCAGGTCCCTCTGGATGGCATCCCTTCTCTTTCTTCAGCAAAATTCACTGAAGGTACAAAACCAGAGATTTTCATCTAAGCAGTGACTCTGTACCTCTGTCAAAGTCTTTCAAGAAAAATTCCTACCTGTTACTGTTATATTACTGTCTCAAATACAAAATAAAAACACAGCTAGGAAAGATAGAAGTTTAGATCTGACACAGAAAAGTTCAAGGGAGCAAACTAAAAATACAACCAAGAATAAATGTAACTGAGCCTGTTAGGGCAAGATAGCCCTTTATTTTGCCCATTTCAAAGAGTCTCTTGGCCACATGAGTCAGTAGCAGTAACCATGCAGCACCCCAGTCACACTTTTTGAGCTAGTAACTTCTCTTTGCATAAAATCTTAGGCTGTATGGACTCTGATTGTCCATCAGGTCACATATACACGCTTTGAGGTAAGGTCTGTCCAGTACCATGCATGCTGGATGGAAGACTGGTAGCACGGCAGGGCTCCTGGTAGCTGGTTGAGCGCTGGATGTTTCTCTTCTCTTGAGTATGGACTTCCTTAACTGTACTTCCACTTGAACTTCCAGTAACAATGCAGTTTTATGCGTCAGTTTGAAAAAAATCAGTGTAGATCTCTCCTGTGTTTTCAAAAGTGTGGTTCTAGTTTTCAACAGCACAGAAAAATCCCTTGAAATTACTTTCATCTTTCAATAATTAAAAAAATCTAAAAACAAAAAAAATATTCAAGAGGTTATGTATCCAGCGCTCAATGT